GCACCTAATTGCTCTGTTCTGCACCACTGAACACTTCTCAGTTGTTTTGTATCCCCAGACACCAGCTGCATAGTCAAGGATGGGACAAACACACGCTTCATAGAGTTGTGTGTATGTGTAGTAACCCAAGTCTTTTAAAACCTTGACTTTACCCAGAACCCCACCTAGAGCTCTCCCTGCAGCCTCTGCAAGAACAGTAGTAGCTGTATTAAAAGACAGGTGTTCATCTAAGAAAAGACCTAAATATTTGTACCGGCTCACATAATCAAGTTTCAAATTTCCAAATCTAAATTCATGGGAACTCCTTCTTACTCCTTTTTTCCTGAAATGCATTATTTGTGTTTTTCCTTGATTGATCATGAGCCGCCACTTAGAACACCAGTCATTAACAATGTTTAGCAGTTCCTGCAGTTCACTTTCATTATCTGCCAATATAATAATGTCGTCTGCATACAGCAGCAGACTTAGAGTCTTCTCACCAAACCTGACTCCCAAACCAGAATCTTTGACATTTTGAGCAAGGTCATTAACATACATAGCAAACAATGTAGGAGATAGTACGTCCCCTTGCTTTACTCCGAAAGGAGTGGGGAACCAGTGTGTACGTTTAAGTCATTCACCTCTACACAGGCTATTGGGGATTTATACAGAGATAATATATTTTCGAAAAATTTCCCATCAACGCCCATTTGGATGAGTCTGTAGGCTAGAAGGTCCCTGTTTACCCAGTCAAATGCTTTTTGAAAGTCAATAAAGCAAGCAAAAGTTGACTTCCCTTTTTCCATTCTGGCCCTAATCACCGTACATACTGTGTAAATGTGATCAATGCAGGCTCTACCTTTACGGAAACCGTTCTGCTCATCTTCAAGTAGATTTGAGCACTCTAGATACTGGGTTAACCTGTTGTTAAGAACACTTGAGTAAAGTTTATAAAACAGTACTCATTAAACTCATGGAAGTCTTTCCTTACATTGTCAATCCATCTCACAATGAAGCTATCATTCTTAGACTATTGTCTAATCTAATTTTTAGGTTTTCTGTGTCAAGTCTGAAAATGAATATCAAAAAATAAATCTTTCCCCTCTGCAGTTTGATAATGACTACTGGGAGTTCAGGAAGCAGATTGATGCCCTGCAGACCACCCTACAGGCCTTCATCGACGGCTGGTTTGACAGAGGACTGTCGGTGAGTACTAACAGCAGTGGTACTTACTCAAACATACATCTCTTTGCTATGCCTGTAGTAAAAAAGTTACTTCTGTACGCAAAATGTATATCTTTAGGGTGCCTGGTCTGAGTTCCAATCACAAGATGAGCATTTTAATGTCATATTGCCGGAGAGTTGATTTGTTTACAGAAATCATGACTTACAACATGATGCTCATCTTTTAACACATTACTCCTTAATCCTTGCTTCAATGTAGGTGTAGAGACTGTTAACTTTAAAAGAAAGAAATTACTAGTCTTTTTACGTTAAGCTGTGGTCTGCTGTTCATTGCTCTTGTCGAAAAAGGACTTAGTCTAGCAAGGGTAATTTCTGTGGTACAATGAACCTGTAGATACTAAGTGACACTATAATTTTGAGAACCTGTAGCTGTACTGAACCTGATTCTGTTCACCCGCAGACTGAGAAGTCCCTGGAGCTTCTGGATAAGTGTGAGAAGATCTCCGGCGCCCAGCTGGACCTGGAGGATAAGTACATGAGGGTCCTGCACCAGTACGGCCGAGACCTGGAGTCCACCAGAAAAAACTACCAGAAACTCAAGGCCGACCCTCCCATTCCCAGAAACTACCCACCGGTGGGTGTAACAACCAATAAGTAGACTTGTTGCCAGGTGGTTGTCACTCATTGAATTCCAGGAGAATCCCACAGACAGTCCCACATGAATGCTGTTTTGGATTAATCTGTTCAACAATAAATCATTGACTAAAAGGTCAGCTTGTAGAAAATCTGATGTTTTTATATGGCAACCGCAATGGCATTACTGCATCTTTCTTCAGTTCTGAACAAGTCTTAACATGAGTAGAAGGTGACACAGATCCAAAAGTAACACAGATCATGTGAATCGCAATACCAGTATTTATAATATATAACTCTAAGCATGCAATACTCTCTCATTCCTCCCACAGATTGCTGGGAAGATTGCCTGGTCCCGTCAGCTGTACAGGAAGATTGAGACTCCCATGATGATCTTCAAGACGAAGGAGGATCTCATGAAGACACCTGACGCCAAGAAGATTGTCCGAAGCTTCAACAAGACAGCTGCAGTACTGATGGAGTTTGAGGTAACCACATTGCATGGATGCATCCTTTATATAGGAACATGTTTATGAAAAGTCTGATTTTGCTGGTCAGGTAATCATCATTATAGCATGTCGCTGTGCTACTCGGCTACTGACTCTGTTTGAATGTTAGCATATTGAATATGCCAAGTTGGTACAACTGTTTCTAATTCTACATTAAATGTTGTGACAGATGCTGTATCACCGTGGATGGTGCCGGGCTGTTGATGCAGCAAAGACAGGCCTCAATGCCTCACTTTTCGTCAAACATCCAGAGACTAAGGTAAGAAATTGAGTCAACTCTTACTACTAGCAATGCTAAAACTTTGTCACCTTTTTTCTTCAGAAACTGTCTCAGAAATATTCTTTTTAAGCAATTGATTTGCAGATGATGTAAGTTCATAACTTGAATGGGTGATTTTTTTTTCTTCACTTGAAGGAACTGTTTGTGAACTTTGACCCCTCCGTGATGGAGTTGATCATGGAGTCTAAGCAGCTGGCTAAGATGGGTCTGGAGATCCCGGAGGGGGCCGAGACTCTGGTGCTGAGGGAGAAGGAGATCAAGGACAACGTGCAGGCGTAAGTTGTTCACTGCTGAAAATTCTAGCTTTGAGCACTCCTGAAAGCATGAGTAAAGTTTCATTTTTCCACTCGAGTGAAGGACAGGACCTTTTTGCAATGCATAAAGATGTTTTTGATGCTATATACTCCTGAGTACGACTTTGTGTGCTTGAAGAATTATAAAATGCCATCATTAATCATAATGGAATATGTACATATTTTTGACAGTTGATTCTTCTTTATAACTGTGAGTGCAAAGAGTTCAAAATATGTAGATTTCTTTCTTGATGACCCAAAATCTATTAAATTTTATAATAATAGTATCTCATAGTAATATCATGTGTGTCTAAAAAGCAATGATCATAATTTTTGAGCATGAATATACTGACCACATTCAGTCATTCAGACAATATACAGATGATGAAAAGAAAAATTTGATGATTTTTAATTTTGTCCTTCCCTCAGACTGAACGAGCTTCTGTCTGACTACAAGAAGCTGACAGACAGCATCACCCCCATCCTGCAGCCTCTCATGAAGCCTGTCATTGGTCAGATTGATGACGCCATCAAGCCTGGACTGACCATGCTCAGCTGGACGTCTCTCAACATCAAGCAGTGTAAGCACCAATCATGTCTATGTGTGATCAGTTACTTCGTAGCAGATATTGTGCCCATTCAGATGACCCCTGTGCTTTTGATCATGATTCTGGCCTAACGCAAAGACTGAGAGCATCAATCTTTGAATATAAAAGAAATCTGTCCAAAATTGTAACAAAATAGATTTTTCTGCACTAAGAAAATTACGTTGTGATAGTCAAACGTAATTGATGTGGTTGAAATTGATAGCCTGGGTTAACCATCCAGACTAGGTTATCCACTCCATTCTTCACCAACCTGAGAATAGGGACTATGTAAGGAGCAGATAGGGAGCAGAATGTATTAAACTTGGCCGGATAGGCTATGAAGCTGCTGTCATGTCTGACTCAACATTTAATGTTAGAGACAACCCTTCAGTCCACTTACGTATCATCTTTTCCTCTCCTACTTCAACAGACATCAGTGAGGTGTACAAGGTGATGGAGAAGGTGGAACTGTTGGTGAAACAGGTGACAGACATGTTGGAGTGCCGTATCGATGCCTCCCTGAGTGACATGTCCTCCACCAGTCTGTGTGAGCTGCCTGAAGACGAGCCCATCTCTGTGGAGGAGTTCCTACAGATTACAGAACAGACATGCGCCAAGGCAGCTGTCTCTCTGTCCACGTAAGTCTGTAGAGATAGATGTAGCCATTACTAAGTCAAAAAAGAGTCAAGCATATTTGTTACATGTAACTGAAAGTATCCAATATGTATCAAGTTGGACAGGGCTCGACAATCATTGAAGAACATCAGCCAATGACCCTACATTTGTGTGATGGTCGAGAGTTCACTCAGGATTTTGTTCATGAAAACGTTAATCCGAGCATGCAGACTAGTTGGCCAATCAGTTTTCCTCCAGTGTGAAGGGGGGGTTTTGATGGAGCTTTTACATTTGAAACATTACAGTTGGAATTAGTTTTATTGTTGAGGGTTATCAGAGCCTAACATGATTCAAATCTGTCCCATCTGCAGACAGAGCCATCTGGTGGAGACTTCTGTCCTGGAGCTGGTGGAGCTGCTGAAGAGTTTCCTCCGTGAGAAGGACAAGGTCAACCTGGAGGTACGAGGCAAGATCTTATCTTATCTAAGAAATTATGAGGATAATCCAGATTTGTATTGTAAATTAAGTTTAAACCTCTGGTCCAAGATCCTTGTGACTATGAAATAAAGAAATTAGTGGAGGAATTTCTTTATGATCAGTATATCAAATCTAGCCTGTTATGACCCTTATGTTAGAATACTGTATTAAATGTTGGAACAAGGTAACTTTAAGTGTCATCTATCTAAGTACACAAAAGTATGAAACTGTCTAAAAATCATCTGATTCTGTCTAGGACAACTACCCCTGCTCCCACCCTGATGCCAGACACAAGGGCCAGCGCTGTACAGAGTGTCTGCCGTGTGTGTACTTCAACCTGCTCACATACTTCAGCCAGAGGAACACAGACGCACTTGTCAAATGTGAGCATCATGGATCACTTCTTAGTTCTAACTACTGTCCAATCTTCTTAACAGTATTTCAAGATGTATCAATACAGGTGTATCATAGGGTAAGTTGGATCATTGTATATGTAATGCAGTAAACTCAGTGCTGTTTGTGTAGATTGACATCTGCTAAAACCCTGATGAGACAACTGGCAATTTCTGTACTAAAAAAAGACAAAATCACAAACTTTAAGTATGATGTGGTGTGTTACGGCGAGGGGCAATTATGCCATCTGTGCAGATACAGATACAGTACAAAGTAGTTACAGATAGTGGCTGATTCATTCCCAATTGTCCCCATACCCTCCAGGCACACGTATGACCATGGATGGCATCAAGAAGCGTCTCCAGTCGCCCAGCCTGAAGTACGCCACGTCGCCACAGCTGAAAAGGGACGACAAGCGGCCACCGCTCTTCAAGGCAGACATTGTGCTGAGCATTCCAAAGTAAGCATCCCAGATATATGTGCTACAGAGTCAATGATGATACACAATGTTTTGCTTGACGGATTGTATATTATTTGAAATCTCTCTCTTGCTGTCCCATTCCTATTTGACAACTACTTTTTCTCCATCATTTCTTCAGGATTTGTTTTCTACTGTGGATATTGTTGTCTTCGTTTTGTGACAATTTTGTCCCTTGCTTTTGGAAAATCACTTCATTCACACACGTTACTGTGCTACAATTAGTAAACAACTGCACACAATTATGTGCAATTATATTATCATAAAAGTAAAATTATGATTTTACGAGTTAAATTCAATAGACTAGCCCCAAAAGGTTATAGTGTGTGACAATGTGTTAAGAGATGTTGTAATGACCCTCATGCAAATTTGCTCTAATCAGCATTGCCCTGAAGCCGAGCCTGGATGAGATCCAGAACTCCCTGAACAAGGCCGTGGCTGTGATGATGAACGTTGCTAAGGACATCCCTGTGTGGGGTCACACCCGGCGACAGCAGGAGCAGCAGATCAGGGTAAGTACATTGTCGCTTTGTTGATGAAAGTTAGACATCCAGGTAATGAGATACACGATACTAGTAGTCACGGACAAAAAGTCGATGACTATGAAAAGTGGATACTAATTGGAACATCGAACAGTTTTCAAAATCTATTCAGTTGCCAGAGTAACCGTTTCTTGTGTACATGTAGCTTTCTAACTCTGAAATGACTGGTATTAACCAGGATTCTCAATACAAGGATTCTCTTCTTCACAAGTGCCAAAGGGAATTGTTTTCCATCTACAGACATTAAGATACACACAATTAAAGATAGTAGCTGATTAAGTATCACAATTAAAAACCAAGAGATAATATATAAGAAACACCAGACCTTGTATGTTTTAAGAAGAACATGGATTTTCACAATGCTTTTGCCTTTAGACGTTTAACATTCAGCTTTACTAAGTAAAGGTGAGTCATAATGCTCAGGTTACAATTTTAAAACACACAGAATCTTTAAGCTGCTAAGGCAAGTTTCACTCGCAAACTAATTATATGTGTTGTATAGGTGCCTCTAACAAACCATATGCTTGCAGTAATAATAGAAATTAAAGCTTTTCATAGTGATATTGCCTGCTAATGCACTTTTGCTTTCTTGCTCTTTAAATGCTTGCTTCTAGCGGCAAAACAGGGTGAGTTGTCACAGCAGACATTGCATTGCATGTCGAGAATGTTGTGCTCACGTTGGTTTGTTTCAAGCAAATGCCCTTGAAGCCGTGTCGAATGCCACTGGTACTGGTTTTCTCTCTGTGTCTTAATAAAATGCTGCAAAGGAAAATGTGCTAAGAGGGTAGACCCTGCACTAGCCTGCTTTTAAATACCTGTCACCTTTGTGTGTATGTGTGTGTACTTGTCTTGTGTTGCACTCGCACAACTGTTGCATGGAATTATGCACTGTGGTTTGCAGCTCGCACAACTCGCGGAGCCCAAATCCCCCGTGCGAAAGGCCCTCTCGTTCTTCTCCGAGAAATCCGATCCCAACTTCCGGGTCAAGTCGGCCGTGAATAAATGGAAACATCTAACCTTTGCCCCGAGGGAGCAGCAGGGGAAGGTAACGGCTCCCTCTGGTGAAAACTGGCGGCACTGCAGGAAGAAAACTTTGGCATCAGATTTTTAACGTCTGACCCATTTTTGATGCTGGAGTCTTCCTCTGGCGATCTGTCAGTGGCAACAGTTGGAAAAGTTCGTAGGAGCGATCATCTAGCTAGTCCCATACTAACCCACGCCGAGACTGACTCTCTGCATGCCCCATCAACATCATATATAACCACTCTAAACACCAAGAAAAGTGTGACAACATCATAAGTACTAAGCTCACCAACATAGCAGCTAGTACTCTAAGCGATAACCTCTTTCTGTTGGAGTAAAAATCAAGTCAGCGTGAGTAGACACGAAGCAGTCATGTACTGCAAACATCACTAACTTGTGGCGACCCTGCACTGTTCGGAGCAGCTAGCCAATCACACAATCCTTGTCCTGGCACCTTTCATGAGCAAGGACGCTCTGCTTTCGTGTTTCTATGGAAGCGTCTGGACTCATGTGAGGTCAGCTGTGGTTCAAGGATTCACACATCATTCCATGTAAATCCAAAGCTTGTATAATCTTTTTCCTTCTGCAGCTTAAAGGTTTTAGCCTGGGTACCATCCTGGGTAGTTTACGTCCGCTCCCACAGTTGCTCCTACCATACCAGTCTGGGACCATCTGGAATTCAAATATTCATCCAGATTTTGTGCAAGCTTGCTGATTGGCCCTCTGGTTGGTGGGAGTGACTGAGGGAGCGGACGTAAACTAACCAGAATGGTATCCAGGCTATAAAGGTTTATAATGCTCCTAAATTCAGCTTTTTAAAACACCGAGTGAACTGCCTAAGGCACACAATATCATATATAATGAGAAAACTTGTCAATTGCTGACTCTCAGGCTGATGTTACAGGAAATGGAGCAGATGATAGCAGAGGGAGGAGATGAAGCTAAGACAGTGGTCCACGGCATGGCCCCCAAACCTCTCCACAAACTCATCAGTGAACACAAGGATGTGGTGAAAGTTCAGGTACTGTAATCAAGTTTTACTTACAGGTACACTTGGCCATTGCACTGGTTTTATACATACATGCAGATTGAAGTTTTGTCTTTGGTGAGTGATCTGTGGGTTTGCGTGCCTATTTGTGTGTTACTGTTAGTTTAACAGCCCATGGGTGGGGGAGATTGACAGACAGAATGACAGGAGGTCAAAAGGTCGGACACAAGAAATGGGTGAACTTGAAGGTTAAGAAAACCTGAAGTCTGAATCACTCATTATTTGTTGCTACTTGTTTGACTTAAATTGATTGGAAGAGTGTGTAATATTTGGTTTTCTTTGCAAAAAAGGAATGGCTTTAACAGAAAGTGAATTCTATTAGGTTGCGCTGAACAACATTGTGAATGGCCTGAAGGTGGACTGCCAGGAACTGCTGGAACAGTTCAAGGGATATGAGGAGCTCTGGACAGCGGTGGGTATACAGATGTGTATGAGGTGTAAAGCACTGTCGAATAACAGCTGCTCTGCTTTTATATCTGGGTGGGCAAGTACATTTACAACAGTTGCTATTCAGCATCTACTTGAGACAGGACTCTTGGCAGTACCATGATAGCCTTTTTGAAGATCCTATGACTTCTATTGGAAGGCAGAGCCAAATCACTCTCCTTCCACCGCCTTGTACCTCTCCAATCAGATAAGCAATTTTACCAGGTTCTGATGTCAGAACAATAGGATCAGCCTTCAAAAAATAAATAATTCAACCAAGTTTTTATGGAAAGTCAGGTAATGGCATCAGTCTATAACAGCAATAATTTCAGCACCAAGGACAGTAACCTTGATTCTTCTGAAAGCATTCTTCACTTCTAAGCCTAATTTTCTGTGATGAATTATCCATTCTCAGGATCCAGAGGAGCGTGTGCAGGAGTTCCTGAAGACCGAGCCCATCCTGTCGGAGTTTGAGTTCCACATCCGGCACTACCAGGAGCTGCAGACCATGATCGAGTCCATGCCGCCAGACTACCGCATTGGAGCCATCATCTGTCTCACAGACAACATACAGATGGCCCTGAAGACCGAGACTCGCAACTGGAAACTGGCATTCGGCAAGGCACTGAACAACAAGGCTGGCATTGACATGCAGGTCAGAGAGTCTTACTGGTCACAGTACAGTTGGTGTAAACTGTCATTGATAATATTATCTGCTTCAGGGATGGGAGTATAATTGCTTTGTGCAGTGCTGATTTTCGGGGAGTTTGTATTTATTCATCTTGCCCATAGCAGCAAAGATTAGAAGTGGGTGAGCAGAGATTAGGTTTTAGTTGATTGACAGGGTTGTGACCCAGTATGTCCTGGGTGGTAGGATGTGGTATATATGTAACATAAAACATTTTGTAATACTAGTATGTTAGGGAATACAATCGTAAATGATAAATCTATTCTATGATGTAATGGTCATACAATACAGTTCCAATACATTCACAAAGACCCCAAAACAGGTATGAGTTAAGGTATTACATTGATGACTACAAGGATATCAGTACAAGCTGATTCATTTTGACCTGTCAACCTTTCAGGACATCTTTGACTTCATCGAAAACCTCAACAAGCGTCTCCAGCGGCCAATCAACGACCTGGACGACGTCCGTGGCGCCATGGCGGCTCTCGGCGAGATCCGCGAGAACGAGATTAAGATCGACATGACCATCGGGCCGATTGAGGAGTCGTACGCACTGCTGAACCGCTTTGAGCTCTTCTTCAACGACGGGAACGCCGAGAGGGTGGACACCATTGGGTACCAGTGGAAGCAGCTGCAACAAGTGGTAATGTCATTATTACTGTGACCTTCTCTTGTAAATTATCTCTTCAATGTTAACCATTGCTTTTTCTCTAACTTTTTGGTATCTTAGTACCACTGATCACCCTTGCATGTTAAAGAACCTTTTGAAATGATAGTCCCAAATCCCACAATCTGGGGTTGGTGATTCACTTCAAATCACCTGGACAGAGGCTTGGCAAACCCATCTTGTACATGTATCAAGCTATCAAAAGGGTATATCAGCCTGTAAGGGGCTGTAACCCCAACCAATACAGTCGACCGATGACAATAATCATATAGCTGATTCTTGCATATCTGCATCATAATTTATCAATTCATTTACCTCTCCATTGCCTTTCCTTTATTGCAATGTCTGACAAAATTAAATAGAAACACAGGATCATTAAGAATGGAATATGCTGATTATGCTGTCCATGCCATTCCAGAGCACTGATATATCCAGCAAACTGTTGGAGATCCAGACTCCCTTCAAGGGAGACCTTCTCAGCGGTGTGGAGCGTTTCATTGTGGAGGTGGACGACTTCGTGGGTGAATATGACGTCAAGTAAGTACTAACAGTGACTGTTGTGCTTTGCTGTGTGTTAACAGCAAGTTCGTTATTCATCTATGTATAAATGAACACCTGTTTTGTTGCTTAAGGCTAAGGTTACATTTTTTTTAATCAGGGCATGGTTGGGCTGTTTGTGTACACACAAAAAATGAACAATTCACAATGCATGTAAAAATATAGAAAAATAGTGCTCAAGGCTAGTTTTTTCAACCTTTTTGAGATTGTCTTTCATATCATAGTTTTTGTTCCTGCAAACTTTTAATGGCCTTTGCTTGGGGATTTTGGCCATAACATTATCTGTTTTGTGACATTTCAAACTATTAGAAAATAATTCTGCTGTTAGGTAGATATGTACGACAAAAAAGGGTTTTATTACTCATCACATAATTGTGTATCTCTCCACAGGGGTCCGAACATCCAGGGCATCTCACCACGTGAGGCCTCAGACAGGCTGACCATCTTCCAGGCGCGTTTCGACGAGCTGTGGCGTAAGTACGTCACCTACAACGGGGGAGAGGAACTGTTCGGCCTGGCCATCACTGAGTACCCTGACCTGCAGAGGATCAGGAAGGAACTGGCTCTGCTGCAGAAGCTCTACACCCTCTACAACAATGTGAGTTCTGCTCCATTCCCTCCTAACAAATGTCATATACTGGTCATGGTTTAGGCTTGCCGTGCATGAGAAAATAATTCTCACATAAGAAAAATTAATCAAACACGCCACCAATTCCAGTCTTTCTGCAAGACATAAATTGGCTATTACACTATTCCTCAGAAAGGCCTTGTACTACATAAATGCATCTTAATTAAGTTTTATGAAAAAAAAACACTTGAAAAACTAACAGTCAAACAAAACCAAACATCGCCTGACATTGTGATTTTTTTTAAACACCATGCTTTTTGAATTTGATATGTGCAATTAGACATCTGTTAAGATAAAGTGGAACATTATTTATTTACATCAAGGATTGCAGGTCGTATGTATGTTAAAAATGTATGAATTTGCCCACAACAGGTGCTGGACACAGTGGACGGATACTACGACATCCCATGGGTTGACATTGACATTGACAAGATCAACAACGAGCTCATGGACTTCCAGAACAAGTAAGCAAAGAAAACTGCACAGTATTATGACTCTGAAATCTGACACTGATTACGTACTTAGCCATGACACCTAGAACGAACACTTTTATGGCACTGGCGACACTTTTGCATTGTATGCTGTTTCCCAGGAACTTAATGAATAACAGAGTTCTGTATTCATACTTGTTTATCAAGAGCTTCAAAAACTGCCTGTCATCTTCATCAGGGCAGTTATCCTGATGAAGATTACAGAAGATCATCAAACTATTGGCTCTTGTTAAACAAGTGTGAATGAAGAACTTGTTATTTTGTCACTCACCAACCTGATAAAATTGTTCACGAGCATAACTTGCAGTCAAATATTGCTGAAAAACTCACTGCTTGTTGCTTTTCCATCACTGATTGCACTTGCTCACATGTCCACGGAAGGCTGGAGAGGGAGTAAGTAGCATGAACACTGGTTTTGTCCAGGGTGCTGAAATATTTGCAGTGCATTTCCAATGAATGATGCATACATCTTTGTGTTTACAAACTGACAACGGCACTTTGGCACACAAGCATCACAATCACAATCATAAGCAAAGAACAGGAACTGGAAAAACAGCAAAAGCTCATATCCAATTATTAGCCATGTGTATGTTAGAAAGCATTGGTGTGAAGCAAGCTGTTTTTATCTGAGTAAGGAAAGACTGACTAAGAACATTTGTTTTCAATTTCAAGACAGAGAATTGTGTGGAGGACCATAAGATTCGGCAAATATGTGAAATGTAGAAGGACAGATAGAAATAATTTCTTCTTTGCTTCTGTATAATTGAAACAATTTTTCTTGTTTTCTTTCTGTATATTGAAACCAACAGTTACTAAATACTTAGTACATCATATTGCATCTTGTAAACATTAGCTGCATCACACTCTTAGGTGCCGTAAGCTGCCCAAAGCTCTGAAGGAATGGGAGGCTTTCCTGGACCTGAAGAAGAGAATTGATGACTTCAGTGAGACCTGTCCTCTCCTGGAGATGATGGCTAACAAAGCCATGATGGGTCGGCACTGGGAGCGCATCGCAAAACTCACAAGTAAGAGGAACAGAGTTTGCTTGGATGTGAAACAAATTTCTGACACTATGAGGGCGTACTTTTTCTGAATTTTCTAGACCTAAGCACTCTAACAAAGCAATGCTTTTGGATATATTTTTTTCATTCACTGGTTTGGCATATTATACATTATTATGTAGTAATCATCTATATTTGTTTTACAGGTCACACTTTTGATGTGGAGGCAGACAACTTCCTCCTGAGGAATATCATGATGGCACCACTACTCCAGTTCAAGGAGGACATTGAGGTAAAAACATAATTATCATGCCTCATTTCTGGGTTATTTGCTAGTGAGTGATCACTAGCCTGTCTTAGTGTTTATAAAGATTTTCATGCACAAGACTTATTCTGTTACTAATAGATGTGTCTGAAAGCCTCACCGTACCATACCAAGCCTACGGACTAATTTTTACCTGAGTCAAGTGAAGAAATAGGTGCACCGTGTTAAGTGCCTTTCCCAAGGACACAAGAATTGGGCCAGCCAGGGATTCAAACACAGAACCCTTAGGTTAGAGTCAGCAACCCTAACCACAAGACCACCTTGCCACCTGTTGATGTAAATGTACATCATGGTGTTGTGAATCTTTCTCTATAGGATGTGTGCATCTCAGCCACCAAGGAGAAGGACATCGAAGCCAAGCTGAAACAGGTGATAGCAGACTGGAGCACCCAGATCTTCACCTTCTCACCCTTCAAGACACGAGGAGAGTTGCTGCTGAAGGGAGCAGATGTTACAGAGATTGTGGCTCTTATGGAGGACTCACTCATGGTGCTGGGGTCTCTCATGAGCAACAGGTATGGCCAACTACAATAGATTTACCCTATAGGTATATATATTATTCATTAGGCATTAAATCCAGAGGTAACCATGATTAACCTCCAGTCAGCACGTGTATACTATACCAGTACAAATTGTATGGTCTGCTGAAATGAGAGACATTGAAATGTTTAGTGCAACCTAATGAAATTACTCTCTCTGTGTATATAAGAGAACAAACTGATGAGCTCTAGACAGTAAGAACTTAATTCTATGGTTTAGAATTATCTACCTATGTGAAAATGGGATCTCAGGAGGCATATCCCAACTGTATTTGTCCATCTTATAGTTCTAGACATGAGTATACTAAGTCTTATAATGCCTACATTTGCATTCAATGATAACGTAATGGCTGCAAGAAGAGCTGCAACTGGGTGAGTCAAATACAAGTCTGACAGGGTGATTCCATCTTACACTGAAGCTCATTTTTAAACTGTATTCAGTTAAAGGTTTAGTTTTAATTGTGCTTACAAAACAACTTCATGTTTAGACCAGATGCCACATTCTAAGCATTTACACTGGTGATCTAGGTTCACACACTAGGTGCTGTTTACTTCATCTAAATCACTGTGTCTAAAGAGCTACAGTAAACTTAAGGTTCCCACTATTAATATAATATGGAGACAATTGTAGTAGTAAAGATACACAACAAAGCAATTAACTGGAGAAATTTGGCGAGAAGACAAGCTCACAACAGGGAGGAACTTACGACAGCCAACCTGTGACTTAGTAGGCATGTAACTGACTGCTATTAAACACTATCTCCCAACAGGTACAACGCACCTTTCAAACCCACCATACAAAAGTGGGTGCAGCAGCTTTCGGGTACCTCTGAGATTATTGAGATGTGGATGACTGTGCAGAACCTGTGGATCTATCTGGAGGCTGTGTTTGTGGGAGGTGACATCGCAAAGCAGCTGCCTCAGGTAAAGTTCCTCAGATTTTTTAAATAAGAGGGAAAATCTCTTCATGAGCGGCACAAGAGTATCACTACAAAGTAACCAGTACATCAAGACTGTTGTATGCAAGCCCCAAATATTATCTTTCCAATTCAGCATTGTAAGACTGCAAAGACTGCTGTTATATAAAACAAATAAGGTCTTGTTTGTTTCGCATAACCGTTAATGAACTCTCTTTTAGTGGCTCCCCCCCAAACACGGGGCTTACATACCAACTAATAGGACATCCCTATGTACTCAAGCAAGGAAACAGGCACTTGATTTTCCCAAGGGCACAACACTGGGGTCTATTAGGGATTCGCAACCAGAAACTTTGGATTCCAAGTCAACAACCCTAACCACAAGACCAAATTTGTCTGTACCAAAACAGGAAGCGAAGCGGTTCAGCCAGATTGACAAGTCGTGGATGAAGATCATGCAGCGTGCGCACGAGAACCCCAACGTGGTGCAGTGCTGTGTCGGGGACGACACGCTGGGACAGCTGCTGCCCCACCTGCTGGAACAGCTGGAGATGTGCCAGAAGTCACTGACTGGCTACCTGGAGAAGAAGAGACTGGTGTTCCCAAGGTATTGCAGTCTGGATTATACTACTACCTTAATAGTGTATCAATGCTGCAAGTCCTATTGTATCATGTCAAAATTGTTCAGGCAAAGCTGTTTCATCATACAACTCAATGCAGTTCAGCATCAAAGACAAATTACCTTCCGAAAATGCCATTGTGTGTCATGTTCACTAAAGGCAAAATGATTACTTGTGTGAATGCTGTCTACCACCATGGACAAAGCTATCACCTTCTGTGAATGCTGTTCAACAGCAAGGACAAAATGGTTACCTTATGTGAGTGATGTTCAGCACTAAGGAGAGAAAACTGTTGTGCTGTTTACCAAAGGCAAAATTGTTATCTGGTGTGAATGCTGTTCAGCACCAAGGACAAAGCCGTTGAAGCATGTGTTAATGACATGTTGAAGCTCATGTTCATGATATCCTTGCCCCCTCCCCCCTCCCAGGTTCTTCTTCGTGTCTGACCCTGCGCTACTGGAGATCCTGGGCCAGGCGTCCGACCCCCACACCATCCAGCCCCACCTGCTGTCCGTGTTTGACAACACCAAGGCTGTCACCTTCGACGAGAAGCAGTACGAGAAAATCCTCAGCGTGTCCTCACAGGTTGGTAATTCTTCGAACTTCAAACTTTATCTTTCAACAAAACATTCCTTATCTGGATGGAGTTGGATTGCCTTTACAGTATTCTTGCTTTGTAAAACACTGTGATTAATTAAAATATGAACAGCATCAAAATGACATATCTTTGTACAAGATTATTTAGAATGAACATAAAAAGCATAATTATTGAAGACCTTGCCAAAATGGAATTATTATACATTAACCACAACATAGCTGCAGACAGTAACAGTTACTGGCTCTACAGTCCAATTAGCCTATTCAGCAAAGGTTCACTCTAGAAAAAAATAGCTAGTAAGCTGGCTTATCATGTGTATCCCTACCACACAAGCTTAAAAGTCTTTCCAATATCAATGAGTAGTGACTACATGTAGTTTTGTCCTTTGTAGTTTAGCATGAGACCTAACCCATTTCTGTCCTCTGCAGGAAAATGAGAAGATTGACCTTGAGAAGCCGGTGGTTGCCCAGGGTAACGTGGAACAGTGGCTGGGCCTGCTCATGAACGAGTCACAGAAGTCCATCCACGGGGTCATCAGGCAGGCTTCTGTCGCCATCGACGACCCCAACTTCAAGATGATTGAGTTTCAGAACGTCTTCCCCAGCACAGGTAGGGGGATATGGCGATGCAGATGTTCTTCTGACTTTAGTAGTAGTATCCAGTCTTTGATTATACTGCTGTGGAGGTCCCTGACACAGGGTTAGGCTTGTAACATGAATATGCTTGAGTAAGACTTGCAGATGAACCACAATGTCAGAAAGAGTCAATGTAACTTGTTACTATTGCTAGGCTAGACATGTGAAAGTAAACATTCTGTATTTACTTGCAAATGTTTCTAGTTCATATTCAAGTTTCAGTCAGAATAGTTTTGAAGGATGTTGAATAACGTCATTTTCTCATATATGGCTTTCAAAAGATAAAAAACAGCAGAAAATGAAGTTGAGAGTGTATTCCTCTGACAGGTTGGCCTGCTGGGTATCCAGATGATCTGGACCCGTGACTCAGAAGAGGCGTTGAAGAATGCCCGTGTGGACAAGAAGGTCATGGCCACAACTAACCAGCACTTCCTCGACATGCTGAATGACCTGATCGACATGACCACCAAAGATCTCACCAAGTACGAACGGACCAAGTACGAAACTCTCATCACCATCCACGTGCATCAGAGGGACATCTTTGATGAGCTGGTAAGCTTCAATGTCCATTCGATGATTGATGTGCATCATATCATATTGCTATTAGCATAAAAATAATTCTGTATTAAAGAATGGCCTTAAACGTAAGAAAGTCTGTTTTAAGCATTCCATTTTTGTTCCATTACAATTTTCAAGAACACATCCATTTTCAGTTTATGTCTTGATGGTGTTCAGCACCAAGGACAGGGGGGGAGAGAGTGACAATCAGTAAAGCACAGGGACTGGTGTATTATACTACATGTATGCTGCTGGTCCAAAAAATGAAAAAAAATTTTTGATTAATGACAAGTTTGGTACAGCACATTTATTCAAGGCCGTTACTTTGCAGAGTTTAGCACTAAATCTCTAAATCCCAGATGAAATGAAGTACTAAAATAAACATTGCTGCCCTCTAAATTGCTGCCCTCTCTGTCTTCTTCCTAACTGACCTTAACCTTATGTTTGACCCCAGGTGAAAAAGAACACGAAGAGCACGGGTGACTTTGATTGGCTGAAGCAGACGAGGTTCTACTACAAGGAGGACGTGGACCAGTGTCTCATCTCCATCACTGACGTCGACTTTGAGTACCAGAACGAGTTCCTGGGATGTCAGGAGCGGCTGGTCATCACACCACTGACTGACAGGTATGCATAAGATACTGTATTACCTCTTTTCAAACTAACAACACATGTATATATAATTCCCTCCCGTTTATACACAATCATGTAGAATATTGAAGCTATGTTGCAACAGTGACATCCTACAATGTAGTAGCTGCATTATATTTCCAAGGAGTCAAACATATCTGCCACCTTGGAAAAAGATGTTCAGTGCAAACGTCCCCCTGTATATTAATGCACTTCAGAATCTGTAAAGTGTGCATACCTGACATCCACAGACATCTCTCAAACACACTGTTTTTGAAAGTGGCAGATATTATGTATTCCTGTGGATGAATTTCAAAAAAGGATTTGCACAGGAAGCACATCTATAATGCTGATAATTTATCTAAATTTGATTTTGAAATATATAAACTGCAGTTTCATTCTTCTGTTGTATTTTGTGATGTTTAAAATGTGTTCCTCCTCCTCCCCACCCTAGATGCTACATCACCCTTGCCCAGGCCCTGGGCATGAGTATGGGAGGAGCGCCGGCCGGCCCAGCAGGTACAGGCAAGACTGAGACCACCAAGGACATGGGGCGCTGTCTGGGCAAGTTTGTCGTCGTCTTCAACTGTTCTGATCAGATGGACTACAGAGGGCTCGGCAGGATCTACAAAGGTGAATTGCATACTTAAACTTTGTAGCTATAGTTTCATCACAATTTCAAAATTGGTTTGTAAAATACGTATCTTGTATGTCTTGAATGATTGATTGATTCAAATTTAATTTGATTGATAAACCATTGATGTTCCAAATAATTGTATTGACCAGAGCATAAAGTAGTCAGGATAGTATCAAAAAATGTGCACTATTTTTGACCAGAAAATTGTCATTTTTTATTTGTATGCTAAAGGAATCACGTAAGCTTGGTGGCATTGACTTTTTCCCTGCATATTGTAGGCAAATTCAAGTTTCAAGTACATTGTATTGACCAGTGCATATATTTTGTAAACCAGCAGGGAAAACATTTGAGAACTCTTTTTAAACAGAAAATTGTTGTTTTTGCCCTTCAGGCCTGGCCCAGTCCGGCAGCTGCGGCTGTTTTGATGAGTTTAACCGTATCGAGCTGCCCGTGCTGTCCGTGGCTTCCCAGCAGATGGCTGTTCAAAATATTCAACTCTTTTTAACCAGAAAATTTGCATGTTTTTCCTCTCCAGGACTGGCCCAGTCCGGCAGCTGGGGCTGTTTTGATGAGTTTAACCGTATCGAGCTGCCTGTGCTCTCCGTGGCTGCTCAGCAGATGGCTGTTCTCTTCAACTGTAAGAAGGAGCGCAGGAAGCAGTTTGTCTTCACTGACGGAGATGTGGTGGACATGAACGCTGAGTTCGGCATCTTCCTCACAATGGTAGGTCTTTACTTCTTCAATCTAAATGCAGGAGAGCTGAGAATATTGTACATTTGTACAAGGTTTTCACAGTAAAATCTGATTAGTGACCACCTCTTCATAAGGACCACCTGGACAACGTGACTTTTAGTGGTACCTTAGACAATTTTCCTACTGAGTCAAGCATTAACAATCCTACTGACAACCTGCAGACCAGATTATGATCAGTCCCTGCATGAGTGCTCCTCTTGTACAGTTGTGACTGTTGTACATGGTTACTGTGATGAAAATTTTACCTTTCCATCATTGTCTATTTTCAATCTAGTTTATACCTCAGCAAACCAGTACTTAGTGATCTGATTCTGACAGTCTAATAACCTTGTTTTATCAACTTGAAGTTAGAAATGACAGCAGCCTCAACTGAAAGAGATCTTTGTACCTGGCCAAAGAAACTAACTCTACTCTAGTACTCTAATGCTTGCCACCTCTTTTGTACCATGCCAAACCAGAACCCCGGCTACGCCGGTCGTCAGGAGCTTCCGGAGAACCTGAAGATCATGTTCCGTACGGTGGCCATGATGGTTCCTGACCGACAGATCATCATGCGTGTGAAGATGGCGTCCTGTGGTTTCCAGCAGAACATCGTCCTGGCTCGCAAGTTCTTCATGCTCTACAAGCTGTGTGAGGAACAGCTGTCCAAGCAGGTAATTACAACTTTAATAGTTGACAACACACTTTTTAAAAGCAAAGGTTAAGAGTTGCTTCAAAGACGTCCAATGGCTCTGCCTCTGGACCAAGAGGTTGGGAGTTTGAATCCCGAATGTTGCCACTCACCAGACATACATGTTGCTGGAAAGGGTTGAAGTCCTTAGGACTGGATGTTAACTGTCTTTTGTACTTGTTGAAAAGAGCTTGGGGAATACCCTCTGGTACAATGAACCTGTAAATAATGTGCATACTATAGCACCTGTCTTCTGTGTCATGACCAGTGGAAGAGAAGCTCTTCAGTGAGCCGAACTGATCAATCACTTCAATTCTTTAACAGTATAGACTTAATTACAAAAATGTCTTCCTCTGCATCCAGGTTCACTACGATTTCGGTCTGCGTAACATCCTGTCAGTGCTGCGGACCATGGGAGGCTTCAAGCGCTCCAACCCTCAGGACAGCGAGGTGGTGACGGTGATGCGGATTCTGCGTGACATGAACCTGTCCAAACTGGTGGACGAGGATGAGCCACTTTTCCTGAGTCTGATCGAGGATCTGTTCCCCGGGATCACCCTGGACAAGGCTGGCTACCCGGATATAGAGGCTGCCATTCAGCACCAGGTAAGGGGAGGTCTTGATGATGAAAACAAGTAATATATTTTTAGTACTTCTCACCACAGGGTTCAAAATATATATCACATGGGCTTTCAAACATTCAACAGAATGATTTGAACGCATTTCGTGTGCACCGTCTGTGCCAAAATTTGAATACCAGATTCGGACTTTTGAATGGGTGTTGTTTGTTATAGCTTTTTTTTTGTTTAGGTACATCAGATTTTCTCAACTTTTGACACATTTTGCATTGAAATGTGTGTTTTCTTGACTGGGTATAATATCTGCCATCAGGCTGATGTTATAGCCCCTGTGGTCAGGCTGTTGCCTCGGGTGATACGGAATACACTTGGTAATATTCTATATTCACCATACATATACTTTGTTCTGTACAGACTGAGGAGGCTGGGCTGGTTCACCATGCCCCGTGGGTGCTGAAACTGATCCAGCTGTACGAGACCCAGCGTGTGCGCCACGGGTTCATGACCCTCGGGCCCAGCGGAACAGGCAAGACCAACTGTATCCACGTCCTCATGAAGGCCATGTCTGACTGTGGTGCTCCTCACAAGTAAGGAAAATTGTTTACATTAACTAAATGTATATTGCAGTACACATCTGGAACATTGTCTCCAAGACAACATGGTCGGCCTGATCACTGACAACAACCTCCAGTCAAAACAAGAGTACATTGCAGATGGCATCTTCTTTCCACTGCCAGGACATCTGCATGAAGCTAGAACTTTGCAGCTGTGGTAACCAGTGATTTAATAGCCAGGAGTGTTACAACCCAGGCTATTGTTTATATTACCACATGATAAAAAAACTTGATACTTGTAATCCCTTTACAGCAATCTTCATCTATACATATGGAATACCATATGCTCCTTCAGAATTTTTCACAGGCTTTCCCTTTGTACGTTGTTGAAAGCTTTCAGAAAAATATTTTGATGTACGCCAACTCATCTGGTCTCCTTTTGACTGATATCTGTCATCCAATTTAGATTTCTATTGTCTTGTTGTATTGACATTTTAATGTATTGTACTTTTATTATATATTATATATATCTTTATATATTGTTATATTTGTGTCCTTGCTTTCTGCTCTCCTCAAATGTGGGATCTCTGTTTTGACAGCCCCGCGGAAGGGATACCCAAACCAAAAATAATTACATTTACAAGGTACAAATACTCATTTTCACCTGAGTCAAGTGGGTGTTAAGTGCCTATCCAAAGGGCATCAGCACCTGCCAAGTTGAGTCTTGACTGTAAAAGGACAGTAGAAGTTATGGTACTCACCTTTCATTGATCATCTTTGTCACTGCTCCAATCTGTCAACGATGCAACCCACCACTGCTTTCCACTCTCTTCTGTCCAGGGCTTTCCTTCTCTCTTCCTCCCAAGTGAAACACATCTCCCTTTCTGTATTGCTGAATCTGTATCTGTATAGACAGCAAAACTGCTCCCATGCACAACACACCAGCTTCGCAGGCAATGGACAAGGTGGCAGCTGGCTATATTACACTGAACTACTTTTTACACCTAGCCTCAAACTCTAAACATTGTTTAAAGCCATCTAGTGATGATGTTTCAACTGTACTTCTGGCAGCAAGTTCCACGGAATGATAGTTCTAGGGAAAAAAAAGAGTAAAACCTCTCACCTGCTGTCTACAGGGAGATGAGGATGAACCCCAAGGCTATCACGGCGTCTCAGATGTTCGGTACCCTGGACGTGGCCACAAATGACTGGACAGACGGCATCTTCTCCACCCTGTGGAGAAAGTCTCTGAAGGTGAAGAAGACAGACAACACCTGGATTGTCCTGGATGGACCTGTGGACGCCATCTGGATTGAGAATCTCAACAGGTATTCTGAGCTGAACATATAAACCTAAATGTTTTGTAGTGGAAAAAACTAATCTTAGAGCATAATGTTTTACTTGGAGTTGGTGACCTAATGTTAGATAAAAATTATTGTTAAAGAGCTTCTTCTAAATAAAGAAGTGAAGCACAAAAATCGTTAAAGAACATGAAGTTGAACAACCTAGCAAAATTTGTGGTGTCTGTCCTTGGTACTGAGTTAGTTGTAGCTGTTGACAATGTGTAGAATTCTGGGGAGTAAGCTGTACCTTTTGCATTGGTTGTACTTAATGTTGATTTCACCCTTTGTCTCCAGTGTGCTGGATGACAGTAAGACACTGACTCTGGCCAACGGAGATCGGATCAGAATGGCACCGAACTGCAAAATCGTCTTTGAGGTGGGTGTGCAACCTTTAGATTGCAAACTGCTAACTCAGTATGTTAAGAAGTTGTTACAACCAGCTTTTAAACATGTTTTTAATAAAGTTCTGCATATTATGTGAAGCTGATTTTGCCTTTCAATTAGCTGTTTGGAGGACTTTTGTTATGTTGACCTATAACAGAAGGAAAGGTAACTGGTACTGTAGCAGACACCCTGTAGTGTTGGGTTACATTGTGTAGCAAGTGGCAGAACAGAGCTGGAGGGGCTGTTCACCATACATGTATAACGTTAATATATAAAATGTGTTTGAGGAAGAATAAGTAGTTTCTTCATCCCCATATGAAGGTAAACATTATGCTTTTGCTTTGCAAATGTTACCTTTCATGTTGAAAAAATCATCTTTTCTTTGTTTCCAGGTGCACAACATTGACAACGCGTCCCCAGCCACGGTGTCGCGTAACGGCATGGTGTACATGTCGAGCTCGGCGCTGGACTGGAAGCCCATCCTGCAGGGCTGGCTCAACAAGCGGCCGCAGCAACAGCAAGACATCCTCATGACGCTGTTCGAGGGAATCTTCACAGAGCTGTACCGATATGTCAACCAGGACCTGCATGTAAGTATAGCAGTATCTGTTCAGTATCAGTATCACAGATGTACCAATATGTCAATCAGGGCCTGCATGTAAGTATAGCAGTATCAGTTCAGTGTCAGTATCAGAGATGTACCAATATGTCAATCAGGACCTGCATGTAAGTATATGTACATGTAGCTCAAATGGTCTGTTTAATGTTACAGTAATTACCAAAAGCCATTTATCAACTCCTAGCAATGGGTTCATGGGGCCTGCTGGAGTTTATTTTGGGTTTCCATTCGAGGCTGCAAATTCTTAAGTCTCAAGACTGAGTCTAGGTCTGTGAATTCTCAGGTTGATGGACCATCTTTTCCAGGGAATAATTCGTAAGCTAAAATACCAGTACATGGGATGGGAGCATATCCATTCAGCTACAGTTGCATGATACCAACTGAGTTTTCTTTCTTCAATGTCTGTAACTTTTGAGAAAATTGACTGAGATAAAACATACTGCAGACCCCAGTTGCATAAGAACTGGGGTCTGCGCCATTAATACACTCAAGTATATTGTAGTCTGTCTCACTTTACTACTGACTGACTTTTCCCTGATGTTCCTAGGCTAAGATGAAGGTTCTGGAGTGTAACTACATCAAACAGGCCATCGACCTACTGGAGGGGCTGATTCCAGGTCCTGACCACCCACCCAGCCAGATCATGCTGGAGAGGATCTTTGTCTTCACCCTCATGTGGTCACTGGGATCACTGCTGGAGCTGGACGACAGGGAGAAGGTAATGTGAAAGATATAGTTACTGTAGTTTGTAGTATCTCTAAGCATGACAGGCTAGTTGCTGCCCTAGATCCTAATTGTTAGGCTTGGTCACATATACAAAGACATTATTAGGGAGAACATTGCATTATCACTAGCATTAAGCCAAGGCAACAGGAGACCATCTTTGCCTGTACAAGAAAAATAGTTGACATATGTGTGATTTTTTTCATCAGTTGTTGAACATTTTTGACTCCAAACAATTGAATGATGGTAGAGCAACAGGATTCAGTGCTTCTTGCATGACCACAATTGATCTGTGTTCTACACTGTCTTAAGATATTGTTCTGTTGCACTAGTGCTCATCAGAATGTAGTAGCAATTGAAGACCAACAACTTTAATGTTGTTTCCTAGTTCTTAATGTGTTGAAGCTGACACATTCCACATTGGCTTCATACACCAGAAGGATGGCTGATGTCCCAAGTCCCAAGTTTAAGCTCAGTGTATCAATCAACATTCTTTGTTTCCTTTTAGCTGGAACAGTTTATTGTAGATAATGGGGGTGGTCTGAACCTGCCACCTGTGGACAAGAGCAAACAGGAGACCATCTTTGAGTACGTGGTGAAAGATGACGGAGAGTGGGAGCACTGGTCTAACCGTGTGGAAGAGTGAGTACATCTAACGTTCAACATTTCACCACTTGCACCACAAATAATGACTGTTCACCTCCTTGATGAGGATTTATATCTAAAAAATGTTATAATTGTATCATATTTTGCCTAAATGACTGATTTTCTCAATTTTCTTCACTAAATTTTTTATCTTTAATATGCCTGACACAAGATTCTGTTAAATTGTACAGATGTACTTACATGTACAGTAGTCTCCTATTCAAAAGTACCCAAAAAGAGTGTTCAACTTGGATATTTACTACACATATGTTTGAGAAAAAATGCATTATAAGTTATCTACAGAAGTTGGCACCTTAGTTTTCTGTTAGTTTTGACTTGTTTCAAAAAGACATGTTTTGTCTATGCTTAAACAATTTTCCAAAAGTTTTTGAATGCCTTGTGTATCTGTGTTAACGGTTTTTCTTCATTTTGTGATGTCTGGACGACAGGATTTCGTAAGTTTAGGCTGTTGCCTGCCTGACTACGACACATGGCACTACCACATTTGTGTGTTTATAATCAATGAAGATTATAATAATCAAAGTATCTCCACTTAACATGCAGATATATAGGGATAAATGTCTGTGTAATATGCACAGTGTTGTCACCCAGTGTGTGGAAACAACACATGCACACAAATGGGTAGTCTTAATGTATATCTAATTCATTACTGTCTGCATCAACACAGGTGCTAGTTTTGAATTGATGGTATGATCACAAGCAAATGTAGAATTCAACTCTCTTGAATAAGATTCCACAAGAATCTCACCTTTTCTCTGGCATTTGATTATATACAAAACTTAACCATGATTTGGTGCTTGCATGTTCTTGTCTAATTCTTCCCATACAACAACATGTACAAACCTTATGTATGTAAATCCTGTGCAGGTACATCTATCCCAAAGACTCCACCCCAGAGTACCAGTCCATCCTGGTGCCTAACGTGGACAACGTGAGGTCAGACTTCCTCATGGACACCATCATGAAGCTGGGCAAACCTGTCCTGCTGATCGGTGAACAGGGAACGGCCAAAACTGTCATCATCAAGGTAGGAGCATACTTTTTTAAAAAGACATATAAGATTGAAGGGAATAGGAAATGGCTGTTGGTCAATGCAAGAACATTCCAGGGTTTAGCACTAAGGACAGGTGTGTTTGCCCGTTTATGGATGGTGTTCAGCACCAAGGACAGGTATGTTTGCCCATGTGGATGGTGTTCAGTACCAAGGACAGGTGTGCCTGTGTATAAATGGTATTCCAACACCAAGGAAAGGTATTTTTGTGTGCAGCAGGAATGTTTGTGTGTGGATGATGTTCAGCACCAGGGCCAGCTTTGTTTGCATATATGTGAATGGGGGTCAGCACTAAGGATAGGTATATCAGTGTGTGTGTATATGACAAGAATGGCTATTGGTAAGAACAATCAGTTCAGCACCAAGGACAGGTGTCTGTTTGCGTGGGGTTCAGCATTGTAGGAAAAGGCTAAGCTAATCAAAGAAGATGAGTTCAGAAAATGATCCACAACATTTCCCCCCTCCAGGGTTACTGCTCGCGCTACAACCCAGAGCAGCACATGTACAAGAGTCTGAACTTCTCGTCTGCCACCACACCGCTGATGTTCCAGCGAACCATCGAGAGTTACGTGGACAAACGGATGGGAACAACATACGGACCACCTGCTGGTGAGTGATTCTACATGTAGTTGTTCCCATCCTTTTGCTACTAACCCAAAAGTTGTGACACTTTTTAAAATGACCATTGTATGCTTGTTGAAGGTTTGTTGGTAAATGTACAGTCTTGCATCTTGACTACGATAGTATGGCCACCTCTGAGGAATGGCAGATCATTACACCAAATGTGGAAGGCTAAAAACTTCAACTTACATGTACATAGCATGAATCCACAGCAAAGAGGCAGATGGAAGGCTGCCATCAAGCCTCAGCATTGACATGCAAGCTGGGAGAGTGGAAACACTAGTTAAACCGGATAGTGAGAGTGAAATACATGTGATGTTAGTACTACATATAATTATATGATAATGAAGTAAATCTAAACACATACATTATGTTTGTTCAGGCAAGAAGATGACAGTGTTTGTTGATGATGTGAACATGCCGCTAATTAACGAGTGGGGAGACCAGATCACTAACGAGATTGTGCGGCAGCTCATGGAGTGGAACGGCTTCTACAACCTGGAGAAACCTGGTAAGGCAGGGCATAAGCTTGACTCATGGGTGACATTATCTAAACACTGATGCTACAGTAATAAAAGAACAAATCTGGATTGTGCTGCAAAATGACAAGATCTTAACAAGAAAACAGTAACTGTTACTTAACAAAATCTATCCAGCTGCTTGAGTAACAGTTTTTTTGAATGTGTATCTCATTACCTGGATGTCTAAAATTCATTGACATGCACAGGATATTCATTCATGTTGTGAATGCTATGCTCCTTATAGCTTGGTTAAGGCATCTTGAAAACATGTCGCTAGAATTGTAATTTTGACTCCTGTTGATGTAAGCCATCAACTGGTATGCTGGGCCTCCTTGGAAATCAACTTTTACAAGTTGAATCCAGCCATCTTGATGAAATACATTAACTAAATGAACTGCTCTCCTCCCACAGGTGAGTTCACCAACATCGTGGACACCCAGTTCGTCGCCGCCATGATCCACCCGGGCGGCGGCAGGAACGACATCCCCGAGCGTCTCAAACGTCGCTTCAGCATCTTCAACCTCACCCTGCCCTCCAATGCCTCTATGGACAAGATCTTCAAAACCATCGGCTGTGGGCACTACTGCCCGGAGAGGGGCTTCAGTCCGGCAGTCTGCGAACTTGTCAAGAACCTGGTGCCTGTTACAAGGCGGCTGTGGCAGGTTGGTACTTCTCTCATCTTCGGAATTCTTCATGTTTTGCTAAAGAAGAGTGCCAGAGTGTATCAAAGATGACATAACATGTGATCATGATGATTGCCATTGGATTTATCAGTAAATGTTTGGGCATTCTGCTCAATGTCACTGACGAAAAGTAGTGGATGCTACTTGAAGCATCTGGCAGTTTTCAGACAGTTTTGGGGGAGACAACAAATAGAGGCGCACAGTTGCCTGTTTTGTCTCCCCCTCCATTGTGTGTTGTGCTTTGGAGAAGCTGGATAAAGAAATAAATAATAAAGAAAGAAAGTTGTCAAAATCTATCCAGTTGCTTGTCAATGAGAGTATCTGTTTTTCTTGTGTAGCAATGACTTGATGTAGAATTATTCCATAAGAAAATCCCACTGGATGTTTTCTCTCCCCAGGCCACCAAACAGAAGATGTTGCCGACCCCGGCCAAGTTCCACTACATCTTCAACCTGCGTGACTTGAGCCGCATCTGGCAGGGCATGATCAACATGATCCACGAAGTGGCCAAAGGTAGTGTCTCTTTTTTTAAAATTTACTTCATGTTCCCCACAAAACAAGGCTCATGGGAGCTTTTCAAATGTTTTGGGTTACTGTACAGACATTGAGGATTGATGTTTGTTGACCTTAGACTTGAAAAGTTTAAGTTTATACCCATATGGGAAACAATCACGTGGTAGCATGTTTCTTTCATTTTATATTGTTAAATAGGAAGGATAAGAGTTGCGCTAACTAGTACTTAAAGAGCCTAATGCTAACAGTTTTTAAATAATGTAAAAAGTATGCAATTCAGCCCATGGCGGAAATATACTTTACCTGATCAAATAAACCATTCGTTTGGTTGTTTGTTTGTTCATTTGTTCATTCATTCTTTCATTCATAGACACAGGGCTCATTATGTCGCTATGGAAACACGAGTGCTTCCGTGTCATCGCGGACCGGTTTACGAACCACCAGGACGTGGAGTGGTTCGACCGGGCAGTGTCGCGAATTGGGGAGGAGGACCTCGGGCCGGAGCTGGCGGGTCTGATCCCGAAAGAACCGTACTTCATGGACTTCATGCAGGATGCTCCAGAGGCTACAGGTGGGAATAAAATCTCACTACAAAGTTAGAACTGTAAAATATCAGACCTGTGAATTTCCAAAATCCTTAGCCTGGTTACCAGACCTATTTTAGCTGCTGAGTCTCTTTTTCCCCCTCTGCAAATAGCGAGGAGGGAAAAAGAGACTTGGGCAGCTATCAAAACATTTAAGGTGGTGGAAGGAGAGGGATGGGCTCTGCCTTCCAATACTGTGCCCTAGACACAGTGGATCAACAACCCACTGTCCCTACGGCATAAAAAAAAAAGGCTATGGGACTACCTTTACCAGCTCAGAACAGCCGGGAAAACCGATAAACTGAGACCTATTTTTTAATATCTTTGTGAGAATTATAACCAGTTTTTGAAATCAACAAATTTTGTCACTTCTGCAATCCACAGGAGACGAGCCAGATGACGCTGACCTCGACGCTCCAAAGATCTACGAGCCGATCGATTCATACGAACAGCTGCAGGAGAGGCTGAACATGTTCATGGCCCAGTATAATGAGTCGGTACGCAGCGGGAAGATGGACCTGGTGTTCTTCAAGGATGCCATGACCCATCTGGTGAAGATCTCTCGCGTCATCCGAACACCGCGAGGAAACGTTCTGCTGGTCGGTGTGGGAGGTTCTGGCAAACAGAGCTTGACCAGGTAATTGGAACCTTTTTCCTAAGTCATGATCGGTAGATACAACATTTGCAATGACTTTGTTGAACTGCATAATAACCACAAGAGGGAAAAGGAGGAGGGGGAGTTAACAAATGACATGGAAAAAAACAATCCTAGAGTACATGTAGATGGGTTTCGCTTAGGTGGAAGCAAGAAGACAATCGCCACACAGAAGAGAGTGGAAAGCAGTGGTGGCCGACAGATGGTAGTGGCAAGAAATATGATGATGATGGATGCTTTGTAGTACCACTTTCACATTGTAATGAGGACCTTTTTGTTCTCTTTTGCAGGCTGGCTTCGTTCATTGCTGGGTACAAGAGTTTCCAGATCACGCTGTCTCGGTCCTACAACGTGTCTAACCTGATGGACGACCTGAAGACCCTGTACCGCGTGGCCGGGCAGGAGGGGAAGGGCATCACCTTCGTCTTCACAGATAACGAGATCAAGGACGAGGCCTTCTTGGAGTACATGAACAACGTGCTCGCCTCTGGGGAGGTATGTGTAACTTATTAAGTTTGTTATTTTTTCCTACTGATTCAACTTGGCGGGACCTGTGCATGTCTGCAGATGCCATGCCTGCGGACGATTAATTGATTGATTGACTCATTCATAAATGAATCTTGACAATGATTGGTGGATTAAGAGTTAGAGAAGGTGTCACTGTTCAAAGCAAAGGGGAGGTATCTGTAACTTAGAACCAGGCAACAATTATTCATTGTATGATCAGTGTAACTGGTGCTGTAGCAGACACCCTATGATATTGGGTTTCATTATGTAGCAAGTTGGAGGGGCTGGTCACCATATACAGTCAAACCTGCCTATAGTGGTCACTCAAGGGACTGGCCAAATTTGACCACTATGGCCAGGTGACCACTATAGAGAAACAGCCGGTTAGTTGCCCCCCCCCCCAAAAAAAGGGACACATGCTTTGAGTACCAACAGTGATGTCTTTATTCTGAAACATATGAATACATACATTTGCAAAGGTAAACCCCTTTTATATGTACATGTGTTAGTTCAATAATTTGTTGTTCTTTTGCTTTAGTTGTACTTTATTTTGTACTTGCTTGAAAAAAAAAGAAATACAGAAATATTGCATGGAAGCATTAACTTGACATCAAAGATACATACACTCAACATATTCAGTTAATCTATTCTGGGACAATGAATCCATTCACATAATTTAAAACATACAAAATCACTGGTTGTCATTTACTGTTCTTGCGTACATACTAGTACTACATGTGGCTAAAGAAAAGAAAGCAAATCAAGCAACAAATTTTCAACTCCAAACAAATATATTTTCTATCGACTGCAAAATCATTTAATCTAAGCTCAGCTTTCGACGATTTCTTCTCACTCTCTCTGCCAGTCGAATCACTTCCACCTTTTGGAATAAGTTTGGCGTCCGTCTTTCCGCTTTCGCCATCGTTTCTCCGCAATCGCCACGTTACTAGTAGTTGTTGTTGTTACTGTTAGTCGAAAAGTGGAAGAGAACGACATCGCCATGTTTTTGTTCTTTGGTGAACACTTGCTTCGCGCGACCGACATACGCCACAGCGAATTCCAACCACGTAAATAAGTTATTTTGTACCAAGATGCTGTCTATTTAGTTAACAGCAAAATAATTGTTCGTCAGTTGCCAGTTACTTTCCGTTTTTGGTCGTTTTTGAACATGAAAACTTAGCGAAAACTCTCCTTTGTTTACGGCTTGGGTTTCTCCCCGCGTGGGTTGTCTGCCTCTACCATTATGCCAATGTGGTAGCCAACAGAAAATTTTCTCCTTTCAGACTTATATCTTTTCTAAAATATCCACTACAGTGTTAAATTTACATCTAAAATTAATTGTAGTAATGTATTTCAAATGTTTTCATAATGTAATTACGTCATTTGACGCTAATGAAGTTAAATAAAACTCGGTGTATCTACCTCCATAACAGTGGAGTCTTCCGATGACCCCAATTGACCTCCCTCTGCAGCCAACATGCGCCATCTTGGAAAAATACGAAACGCATTTTCGAGCCAAATTTCTTTAATTATGCCCATGAAAAACGGAAGCTATGCACATATCTACGCATTTCAAGGAATCAAGAAACCAAATATGGATATTCTTAAGTTTTTTTGTAAAGATAATTTGCCGTAATCTTCGCCGAGCGGCCGAGTCCATTGAAAGCTCCATGCGGCACGCACGGCACTGGTGTTGGGGAAAACGCAGATATCAAAGACACCCGCGACCGCAGAAACTTCGTGTCAAAAGTCAGTTTTCCTTTATTTCATACACATATGGAGTCTAATTTTCAGTTCACATTTTAGTAATGTAGCGATCGGAAAATTATCACAAGGCTCATAACGGTCGTAGCCCGAGGTGGGGTGGTGTTACGGCCGTGGTGCTTAGCGGGTTACGGCCAGCCGCGACCGCTATCGGCGGTGTTGACATGCCGGCGGGACCGGAATGGGGTGACCGCTGACCGCGTTGAACAGTGACCGCTATAGACACGATTCTTAATGCTTACGTCAATGGGAAAAATTCAAGGGACCGGCAAAAACTGACCGCTATGGCCGAGTGACCACTATACAAAGGTGACCGCTAGTACAGGTTTGACTGTATATTCATGTATTCAATGTTGTTGAGTAAGAATCAACAGACTGAGATATTGTAGTAGCTTATGAGGCTAGACTATGTCAAAGTGAACATTAATATGCTCTTGCTTTGCAAATGTCACCTCTCTACATGTAGTTAATGTCTGTTATGATTCCAGGTGTCCAACTTGTTCGCTCGTGACGAGATCGACGAGATCACAAACGAGCTGATCGGCGTGATGAAGAAGGAGTATCCACGGCGACCACCGACCAATGAGAACCTGTACGAGTACTTCCTGTCGCGGGTGTGCAACAACCTCCACGTGGCGCTGTGCTTCTCTCCCGTCGGTGAGAAGTTCAGGAACAGGTCGCTCAAATTCCCTGCACTGATCTCAGGTAGGTTGGAAACCTATAATAATTATTATGTTTACATTCACGGAAAAAAAATGTACTGTTTTTGCTCTGTTCTTCTTCTACTACTTCTTCTCCAAATTCATAAGGTTAATGACCTGGAACAGACGTCTGTCACCATGGTAACTGGTGCTGTAGTAGACAGACAGCCTGTGGTGTTGGGTTACATTATGTTGCTTCAAGCTTCAGGATTGAAACAACACTCGCCAAAATGCAGTTACTCAAGCAACTGGATATGATTTTGAAAACGTCAGACGTTTCAGCTAGTATCCACTAGCTTTCGTCAGTGAGGCGTATCGTATTACCTGGATGTCTAACCTTCATCGACGTATCTTGAAACAACACTCTTCAAGTAACTTTCAATGATCAATAATATAATAAGACATTAGTGATCATGATGTTATTCTATACTTATTTTGAATATGTGACTGTTTTTTGTCATCTTCAGGCTGCACGATGGATTGGTTCAGCAGGTGGCCAAAGGACGCTCTGATTGCCGTGTCCACCCACTTCCTGTCATCCTACGATGTCAAATGCTCACCAGAGGTACGTTCCATACACTGTGGTTGGCTAAAAAGACAAGCCATAGCCTTCATTGTGACGTTTTCATCCAATAGTAGTGTTAAGTCATATATTTTTCATGGTTGTATGGATGTATGATCAACATCGCATCTGAATTTTACCTGTTGCAGACGAATGACACAGCATTTGAAAACCATAGACGGGATGTCAACCTTAAATATGCAAATACAAGATTTTCTGCTATGCGAAATGCATTAAATTTTACAGATTTCGCACAGGCACGATAAGTATTACCAACGTGCTATCCATCATGGTACTATTACAATCCTGCTGTAACAGTTACATTCTGCCTCTGCCTCCATGGTGCAGGTTAAGGAGAGCATGCAGTCTACCATGGGAGTTTTCCAGGACCTGGTAGCAGAGTGCTGCGTCCAGTACTTCGAACGTTTCCGTCGCCAGACCCACGTGACGCCGAAGTCCTACCTGTCCTTCATCGATGGCTACAAGACCATCTACAGCCAGAAGCTGGACACCATCCAAACACTCGCAATGAGGATGAACACAGGTAAAGGCTTAGGATTTTAGACCAGTTGAAAGTCGATTTTGGAATAGCTTTTATAGCGGACAAAACTTTTCAAACTGGAGAGATAGGGGAATTTTTTTTACACAACCAGTAATCTCACCTCGCTGACGTTTTGGTGTCTGTCAGACACCTTCTTCAGAGCTTCTGACTGGAGTACTGCATCTCGCCGCTATCTCTTAAGTCTTACCAACCTGATGAAATTATTTTCGGTTTTCAAACTGGGTTACCATAAAACAGGTAATAATTGAAAATCTAACGTACCGTCTGTTGTTTTTCTCCAGGATTGCTGAAACTGCAGGAGGCTTCAGAATCGGTAAACGAACTCTCAAAGGAACTGGCTGTGAAAGAAAAGGATCTGGCAGTGGCCTCAAAGAAGGCTGATGCGGTAAGAACGTAAAGATTAAATTGAATACGTTGAGAAGAGAAGTTGAAACGTTTACCCATAGAAAACTGATTACATTGTATTTCTCTTGAGGATAGTCCTACAGTTCAGATTGCTTGATTTGATGAGCACTACAATTATGGAAGAGATGAAAACCAGTAACACCGGAAAAGAAAAGAACACTAGAAGTGAACTGAACTCAAACATCTTTGATACATCAATGACGGTTAGACAATTCCATTAGTAATGAGATACCAAGATAACAGTCGATGTAGCAAACTGTTACTCCTGACAAGCAAGCTTTTAAAATCTATCCAGTTACTTATTTTCTTACATTGGTAAAGTCTCTGATGTTTCTGCACCCTATGACAGGTGCTTGCAGAGGTGACTGTGAGCACCCAGGCTGCAGAGAAAGTAATTGTTACCTTGGTTAAGTCTCTGACATTACTGCATCCTATGACAGGTGCTCGCTGAGGTGACCGTCAGCGCCCAGGCTGCAGAGAAAGTGAAGGCTCAGGTACAGAAGGTGAAGGATAAGGCCCAGGCTATTGTGGATGAGATTGAACGTGACAAGGCCGTGGCAGAGAAGAAGCTGGAGGCCGCCAAACCCGCCCTGGAGGAGGCTGAGGCTGCTCTGGGGACCATCAAACCTGCTGACATTGGTAGGAATCTGTTAACTTTCTCTTTACCATCTTATCAGTGTGCTCAAGTGGTCCAGTGATCCTCAGCCTCTGGACCAAAAGGTTGGGACAGAATCCCAACTGTTGTTGCTCACCCGACATGCACACTACTGGAAAGGGTGGCAGTCCTTAGGATGGGATGTTAAGCTATGGTCCACTGTTCATTGTGCCTGTCAGAAAGAGCTAAAGGGAATTCCCTGATAAAAGGGACCTGGATATACTGTCCATAGTGCCTGTCTTCTCTGTCACAACCAGTGAGTTTCAAGGTCATTTTCATTTTCACATAGGTAGCTGAACAATATTTGAAGTAGAATTTAGAAAATTTCTATCCTGCGTGCCTACATCATACTACAAAGCCTGTACAGTATTGCAGAATTGACCATGACATTATTTGTCCCACCAGCCACTGTGCGTAAGCTGGGCAAGCCTCCTCACCTGATCATGCGGATCATGGACTGTGTGATCCTGCTCTTCCAACGGAGGATCGACACCGTCACCGCGGATCCTGAGCGACCCTGCATGAAGCCGTCCTGGGGCGAGTCGCTCAAACTCATGAACGACTCAAAGTTCCTCAGCTACCTGCTGCAGTTCCCCAAGGTAAATGGATTAAATGCCCCAAGTACCATGATACCGGTATAGTTCATGTTTGACATTTAAATGTAGGCTTAAAAGCACGTCACCCATTCGAAAGCAATAGATATATATAGGCTTCCCATTAAAATGTACATGTGCCTGGTCTGTCACTTTTTCACGCTGGTCCAGTAACACTTTACATGAACATTTTGACAGAGAGTATGTATGGCAAGAAATTGGAAATGGATTAGAACAAAGCACAAATATTAATGTCATACGTACCACCTCATAGATGGTAACTTATTTCTAATCTGATTACAACATGATACAAATCTGTCATGTTGCTTTGCAAGACTAATTGCTGTAAGAGTCCAGAATGTGCCTTGTTTTAAGGTCCAACACTAGTCCACTACTGACTGAAAGGATTGCAAATACTGTTTCTCCCTCCACCCAGGACACCATTAATGATGAAACAGTGGACCTACTCGCTCCATACATGGAGATGGACGACTACACACTGGAGAATGCCAAGAAGGTGTGCGGTAACGTCGCCGGTCTGCTGTCCTGGACGTCTGCCATGGTCAACTTCTTCTCCATCAACAAGGAGGTTCTGCCTCTCAAGGCCAACCTGGCCATCCAGGAGTCACGTCTGGGCAAGGCTACGGCAGAGCTGGAGGCTGTAAGTTTGGGGCAATATTTGAGAGTTATATGAGTTATCAGACTACGGCATTGCACTGTATGATGTCCATGATTCACACAGCTCAGTATGTATGGCAAGAAATTGGCCACTACTGCAGCTGGCCTTTGTTGTATCCAGAACCGTGCTTAATTTAGAACCATGCTCAGGCACTGTTCTGGATAGCCCAGACATATCCAGTGCCGTACCTGGAGCAAATCTATGTTCAACTTGTTGGATGCAAAGAGACTATCCAACCCCGTACCTGATCCATTCAAGCGTAGAGCTAAATAGGCACAGTTCTTGATAGAATCTTAGGCTCTTGTCAGTATTCCATTGAGTCCCCCTATCTTGATGATGGTTATTCCGGCATCTTGCGCTACAGGCCCAAGCTCAACTGGACGAAAAGCAGAGAGAACTGGACGCTGTACAGGCTCAGTACGACGCTGCCATGAAGACAAAGCAAGACCTGATGGACGACGCCGAGGCCTGCAGGAGGAAGATGAACAATGCCACCACACTCATCGAGGGTCTGGGCGGAGAGAAGATCCGCTGGACTGAAGCTAGCAGAAGATTTGAGGACCAGATTCGTAGGCTGGTAGGAGATGTGTTGCTGGCCACAGGTTTCCTGTCGTACTCGGGACCTTTCAACCAGGAGTACAGGACTCTGCTGCAGAAGTGAGTTGAAGTTTGCCTATTTTGTATAACCTGTAAACCACCTTTAGGCATAACACACCAGTTTTTACAGTAAGTACAAGCCAAGTAATGCCAGACTGCAGGGTTTGAAACACCCACACTGAGAAGACCCCTACTATTTTTGATGAGTGCAATGGGTCTTAAATGAGGTGTGGCTCTCCTCAAACACAGGACCTCCAGCTTTATGCTATCTGTACTCATTTTCACTGAGACAATAGGTGTAAGTGCCTGTCCCAAGGAGACAACACTGAGGCCTGCCAAGGATTCAAAGTAATCCAAAACCAGAAGAGACTTAAAGAAAATCACCATCCCTGTCGTGTTTTCTAAAATAGGAACTGGAAGAAAGAGATGCAGAAGGCGCGCATCCCCTTCAGTGATGACCTGAACCTGATCACAATGCTGGTGGACAATGCAACCATTGGGGAGTGGAACCTGCAGGTATGCTAGGCTGAAGTCATGTCTGGGCCTTAGGCCTTAAAATGCACTTTGTGGACTGCTGGGATAGAATTTGCCCGAGTGTTTTGTAGCATGAGGCAGCATGCTAGGCCCCTCTTTGTGGCAGATTGATAGCTGAAGATAGTTAGGTCTTCAAAGGGAAGTGAACATTTAACATGACTACATGTAATTTGATGACGATACAGATAATTTTTGTCAGGGGACGACGACAACATGTACATGTATTACAGCTGCTAATCATTCAGCCCTGGCTGTTACATGTACACAAACCAACACACGATGAATAAAATACATGGTAAGATAGGATACTGGCATATACATGTAATATACAAATCCTTACCAGAGCTTTTTGTTCCCACCCAGGGACTGCCGAATGATGAACTGTCCATCCAGAACGGCATCATCGTCACCAAGGCAACTCGTTACCCGCTGCTGATTGATCCACAAGGACAAGGAAAGATCTGGATCAAAAACAAGGAGAAGAACAATGAGCTGCAGGTAAGTGGATAAAATGGAACAATATGGTTCACACAAAATTATTAACAGCAAAAGTTTCTACGCTTAAGGCAAGGTAAAACAATTGTGATTCAGTTTTATTCCTATTACATGTAGCTATGAGTCTGTTGTTGTCAATGCAGTTGCTGTGTGTGGGATGGCATCTCCTTAAAATACTAAGTCTAGTGTTGTGCAGCTGACCAAATTAACATGGAAAAAAACTGAGCTAAAATTTCTGACATCTTTATCATCCCATTGATGTCAGAATTCACTAACCATCAAGCTGTAATATTTGGTAAAAGTTTCATTAAGTTGGTAAATCATGTAGCTTTCTTACCAGTAATTTCAGGTTTTTACCTGCGCCTACATTTTGGCAGCTTACCTACCACTGTCATGAATTTGTATGATGAAACAAAAAGACACAAGTTAAACAATGACAAGTTTCAGCTCTAATGATAGTTAATACCTCCAGGTCACAGTGCTGAACCACAAGTACTTCTGTAACTACCTGTGGGACTTGCTGATAAACAAATGCATCATGTTTTTTTAATGTCTGCTGATTCTTTGAGAGCTTATCTACTGCCTTCATGCTTGTGTACAAAAAAGGCGTGAGTTAAACAATGAAAGGCTTCAGCTCTAACAAGAGTCTTTACTCACAGGTGACAGCGCTGAACCACAAGTACTTCCGTAACCACCTGGAGGACTCCCTGTCCCTGGGCAGACCCCTGCTGCTGGAGGATGTGGGGGAGGAGCTGGACCCGGCTCTGGACAACGTGCTGGAGAAGAACTTCATCAAACAGGGCAGTACGCTCAAGGTTAGCGCCTGGATGTTATTGTAGGGAGATGGATGCTTCCAAAAACAATTACTGTACAGTATAACATGGAGAATGGTCAACACTAAGAGTGATTTCTGATTGAATAACATTTGAAATAGCAAGTGCTATGGACTAGTGGACAAGTGTTATGGTATAATTTCATGATGGATGTACATACATTCCCAACATTATACTTAACGATCATGTTCAAATACATATTGATAATAAAAGAGATATTATCTGACATGAAAAACACATCTCAGTAAAGTTTTGTCTTCATTCTTCTATCCACATTTTTTAAAGATCCGATACTATTTTTGATGAGCTTGAGTCTTCTTAGTTTTGATCATTCAAAACATCATTTCAAAAGATTGATACTTGTGAGCTATATGTATATGCAATATTCTGAGCATATTGACATGTTGTTGTCTAGGTGAAAGTGGGAGATAAGGAGGTAGATGTGATGGATGGTTTCCGGTTCTACATCACCACTAAGCTGGCTAACCCTGCCTACACACCCGAGATCAGCGCCAGGACTTCTATTATTGACTTCACTGTCACCATGAAGGGTATGTTTAACCTTTAGATATGTTTTAAACCCAAAGGAACAATTGCTGTGGCGCTATTATACACTTCTCTTGAAAGTTCATCTGTGTTGGTAATTGGACTTACAGTAATAACTGACTGACTGTACAACTGCAGAATTTGTCAAGGAATGAGCAATCCATTGACAGTCGAAATTTGCCAATTTACGCAGTTTAAACTTGCTTCATAATGATTTTGTTGCAGTTTCTTCGTCACATTAAATCAGCTTGTACTGAAATTTCCTCACTGACCCATGTATTTCTTTTTACCAAGCATAAAGTCAGTTTAGCAACCCTTTTTCAGATAACCACAGAATACTAAAAAAAAAACACACTAAAACGGAAAGATACATTTGAGCTACATTCCTGGTCTCGCCTAAAAATGTTTCCCCTCCCCTTGCCAGGTCTGGAGGACCAGTTGCTGGGGCGTGTGATCCTCACAGAGAAGGCAGAGCTGGAGGAGGAACGCACAAAACTCATGGAGGACGTCACGGCTAACAAGAGGAAGATGCAGGTATGGGAAACATTTTCTTTGTCAAGATCTACCACATTTGTTAAAGTATTGATCTGTAAGTGACATGAATCAAAGTTGCAAGGTTCTGACAGTCTTTTAAGCGAATATCATAAAATCAGAGATTGTATTCATTTGACAGAGACCCTGATCAAGATCTCCACCAGTAAAATCACCTACTACTTGACCTTGAAACAACTAGAAGTAGTACTTCAAGTTCAGGTACAAGTAGTAGAATCCCCTCTTCTACCAGATGAGAGTCTCTACCTTGACATATACAATCATGTAGTCATTGGAAATGTGCAGCAAAACTTTCAGCACCAAGGACAAAAACAGTCTGTATACTACTTATGCCAGCTTTCCAGCTTTCAGAAATGTGCAGCAAAGATTTCAGCACCACAGACAAAACCTGTGTTATGCCACTTACTTCCTTTCCAGCCTTCTGTGGGCCTGTGAGCAAATGCAATCTCTACCCTGTCATATATAAACTGTGATTTATTGTATTTTAATTGGACTTTTTGTTGTGTTCTACAGGAACTAGAGGACAACCTGCTGTACCGCCTGACCAGCACACAGGGCTCCCTGGTGGAGGACGAGTCTCTTATCCAGGTGCTGCAGACCACCAAGGTCACCGCCCAGGAGGTCACCGAGAAGCTGAACATCGCCGCGGAGACGGAGATTAAGATTAACACCGCCCGAGAGGAGTTCCGTCCAGTCGCGAGCCGCGGCTCCAGCCTGTACTTCCTGATCGTGGAGATGTCCATGGTTAACATCATGTACCAGACTGCACTGGGACAGTTCCTGGGACTGTTCGATATCTCCATGGCCAGGTGGGTTCACTGTTCTTTTCATCTAAATTTGTATCTGTATAGCTGGTATAGCCGCCTTCTATGTAACACACCAGCTTCTGTATCTGTATAGCTGGTATATCTGCACTTCGGAGTAACACACCAGCTTCTGTACAATCTGTATAGCTGGTATAACTGCCCTTCAGTGCAACACACCTGTCCAGCTTTGCATGCACATGACACTCTATGAATAAAAAGGAATGTTGTGATATTTTTGCCTCACACAACATAAAGAAATTATGTCAGCATTAGTTTCAAAAATTGCTTCATGGTACAGACCAGTAAATGTCTTTACTGTCATTTTGTCCTCAGGTCTGCCAAGAGTCCCATCCCGAGCAAGCGTATCGCCAACATCATCGAGTACCTGACATTTGCGGTGTTTAAGTACACGGCACGAGGGCTGTACGAGGAGCACAAGTTCCTCTTCACTCTGCTGCTCACTCTCAAGATTGACCTACAGGTATGGATACGCAGCATATCACACTGTTACTGTCTCTTATCTGTAGTGTATAGTGTACTTTTCTAGGTTCTCTCATTTTTATTTGTCATAGTAATGATCATGCAATTGTTGGGTAATAGCTATAAAAATGTTTCAAATGCTTCTGAATCACCTGTCTCTGACCCATGCTTTGTTCTCTTATTTAAAATTGAGAAGAATGATCATAAGTTTTATCTTGGAATACATAAAGTGTGTTGTCAACTACGTTGTACATTTTGCATGAAGCCAATACCTGTTCTATGAAGAAATAGAACTTTTGGAAGAACAGGATTGCTTTTTGAATTTCAGACAAACAAACAAACCTAACCTTTGTTGATTTGTAGGGACACAAGATCAAGCACAACGAGTTCCAGTCCTTCATCAAGGGAGGTGCTGCCCTGGACCTGAACGCCGTGGAACCAAAACCCAAGAAGTGGATCCTGGACATGACCTGGCTTAACTTGGTCCAACTCAGCAAACTGCCACAGTTCTCACAGGTAACTTCGACTAAAGTTAAACATAATTGCACTTAGTCTAGGTCACAAAAGTCGTATAGGAAAAATGTATCCAAAAAGACCCTCAATGCATTATCCTCCAGTATAATGTACTCCTGTATATCTTAAGTGTGCATACTTTGGGGGTTCTACACTAGAGACCAGAGCAGACTCTCAAACACAGTTTTTTCAAAGTGGCAGATATATGTGACCATCTATCTGGATAAATGTAAATGTATCTTTACTAAAAAAACAATGGGATCAAGTGGTGGTGTTAAAATCAGCTACATCATTGTACAACAACTCTAATTTTGCAATTGTTAACTGCAACAAGACTTGAATTATGCATTTAAACCAGATACTATTAGCTTAAGATTTGACTTATGACTCTTTGTAGATCCTGAGCCAGATCTCCGGCAATGACAAGGCCTGGAAGAACTGGTTTGACACAGATGCCCCAGAGGAGGAGGTCATTCCAGATGGATACAGGTGAGAGCTTGCTTCTCAAAACAAATGTACATGTATTATAAAAGCTGGTTAATTACTTGCACCGAAGAAAGTATTCAACCCAGGTAAGAAGAGACTTTGAAAAATGCTAGTGCAATCAAAAAGATATTTAGAACTTTTTACACTTGATGTTTCAACTGTCAAATCATTAATTTTGAATGGCTAAAGATGTCAAGTGACATAAGCTGCTCCCCCCCCTGGATGTGGCATAAGCTGCTGATGGCTGCAAAAGGATGTGGGCCAGAAGCTCATCATTTTAGTATATCTACATGTATATCTATCTATAAGGACTGAATGCAGCTGCAGACTTACGACTTACAACTATGAGTCAGAACACAGTGGAAGAGAGAGAGATCACTGGTACTGATATCGTGGTTGTTGAACTTCATCAAACAACCTTTGAGAAAACTAAATGTAACATCACTTTCCTCCTTTACCTTCAGTGCCTCCTTGGACACCTTCCGTAAGCTGCTGCTGATCCGTTCCTGGTGCCCAGACCGTATCGCTGCCCAGGCCAGACACTACATCGCCGAGTCCATGGGGCCGGAGTACGCCGAGAGCGTGATTCTGGACCTGGAGGGGATGTGGGAGGAGTCAGAGACATCAACACCTATGATCTGTACGTATCAGCAATGATAAGACATATATGCCCTGTGCCGTGGTTTTATATTCTGTATCTGTATCGGTATAGTCGGTATTAAGGACAGACTGATAATAGGATAGACTGATAATAGTAATTATCGGTAATCATGTTGTTATTTGGCAAGCGCATTATGTAGAGAGTTAGCAATGGCCTTCCATAACAATGTTTAAATTGTGCTACCATTTCTAACAATCATGTTCCTTAAAAGTTACATACAGTTACAGATTTTCTACACAAATATGACTGACTTTTACACTGCCCGAAATATTCTTAAATGCAGTTAGAACTTTCAAAGGTCTCTTTTACATTAATGTACATTTACTTTTAATAATTGTAGCTAAAAGGTTATGATATTCTAGACTGTGTATCTGTTGGTAATGTTCATTTGTGGATACTTTGGCCTGTGCAACTTACCAGTCCTTGCTCTGTTCTGTTCTTTAGGTCTCCTGTCCATGGGCTCTGATCCGACTGATGCCATCGAGCGTCTGGCTAAGAAGCACAACCTTAAGTGCCGAGCCATCTCCATGGGGCAGGGACAGGAGGTCCACGCTCGCAGACTGTTCCAGCAGGCATCCACCGAGGGAGGATGGTCAGTACCCAGATTTCCTACATAGCCTTGTGGTGCTGCCAAAATAGTATGAGGTATCTGAAGGATGGATATCAGTATAAATTACCTACATGTACTTCAGCAACCTGGTGCCCGGGCTATCGCAGTTTGGGTAGGCTCCCTTGGGGCCTTCAGATGTTCTTTGCTACCCAGTGCAAATAGGCTCCCAGGTAGGAGTTTTGCATGGCAGTAGTTTGATTAGCCCATGATTTTACTCCTCTCATGCAATCCTACAATTTACTGGGAGCCTGCATGTAGTTAAACTGGGTGAGGGAAGGCTAAAGAAGCCCATCCAAACCACGATAGATCTGACACCAGGCTACTTCTTCAAGAGATATGGATGATGTACAATAACTTCAATCATGTCTGTTCCCAGGATCCTGCTGCAGAACTGCCACTTGGGTCTACAGTACATGGAGGAGTTGATGGACGCCATCCTGACCCTGGAGAACCCCCACGACACCTTCCGTGTGTGGATCACCACCGAGGTGCAGCCCAAGTTCCCCATCAACCTGCTGCAGATGTCCATCAAGTTCAGTAACGACCCGCCACAGGGCATGAAGGCTGGACTCAAGAGGACGTACAACATTGTCACTCAGGTTAGTACAAACGGACTTACAACATCGTCACACAGGTTAGGATTAAATCATATCTGTACATCATGTCAGTAATGACCCGCTGCAGGGCATGAAGGCTGGGCTGAAACGGACATACAACATTGTCACTCAGGTTAGTGCAAGGAATAAATATGATTAAATCAATTCCTTATTGTGTCAGGCAAAAGAAGCCCACATTGGCTGATATGACACCTAAGTTTGAAGTTAACAAATAAACAACTTATGAACTGATACATAAGATAAACAATGATGAAATCTAAATACAAGTCATTCATATACTTACTGTGGTAATCTAGTTTAATGTACAAAGGAATATAGTTAAAACCTCTGTCTTGACATGTATGAAACACCTATGATAATGACTAGAGTATTTACCAAATATCCCTCTTCCATATTTGCATTGGTTCAGACTTTATCCTTGAAATGACACAATTAAACAGAGTTTACAAAATTGCACCTAAAGCTAACCTTTGTCACGCTTGTCTTCAGGACCAACTTGACGTGACCAACATGCCCCAGTGGAGACCCATGCTGATAACAACTAGAATATTACCAAATATCCCTCTTACATATTTGCATTGGTTCAGAACTGTACCTTAAAATGATGATTGCGAACAGATTTTACAAAAAAAATTAACCTTTGCAAACTTTGTTTTCAGGACCAACTTGACGTGACCAACATGCCCCAGTGGAGACCCATGCTGTATGCTGTGGCCTTCTTACACACAGTGGTACAGGAGAGGCGTAAGTTTGGCCCCATCGGGTGGAACATCCCCTACGAGTTCAACCAGGCTGACTTCACCGCCACCGTGCAGTTTGTGCAGAACCATCTGGATGACATCGATCCTAAGAAGGTACAGATCAGCAAAACCACAACATTTCAAAACAACCTACAAAACATATCTTGAAAGTTCATCATAGAAGTAGAAGTCATTATGCAGCAAGATTAAACTGTAATTTGAGTCCAATTTCTTGTGTTGGAAATTAAAGTTTAATCTTGCTGCATAACGTTCAAAACAGTTTGACCCTCTAAAGCTAGAACAGACAGTAGACTCAATGACAGATACATTTTGTATATGAATATGTATTTTCAATCTGGTTAGACTGAGTATATATCAAGCATTTATCTAATACTGAACTTCTGCAAACCATGTAAAAAAGAGGCAATGTTTCTGACTCATCAGAGGAACAATTTCACTGAGTGCTGTGTTAGGATGAGATGGCAGCAGTATATATATGTCAGTCAGTCTCATAAGACTATGACTTGACTGCGCAAAACCAAAAAACAGGTGGCAGCAATGTCCAATTAAACCTTTGTTCTCTTTGCAAAGTTTGCATACATTATACATAGTTTTTTTGTCATCTTTAAACAGGGAAGCATGTATGTACCCTATCCTTATAAAATATAACATCCTTTTTTCCCTCTATCACCATTTCCAGGGCGTGTCGTGGAAGACAGTCCACTACATGATCGGTGAGGTGAACTACGGCGGGAGGGTCACAGACGACTATGACAAACGTTTCCTGAACACGCTGGCTCGCGTCTGGTTCGGAGAACACATGTTCCAGGAGAAGTTCAAGTTCTACACAGGTGAGCAGCATGGCCAAACTTAGTGTGATCTTTAAAATGTTTTTGCAAAGAATTTGCAAAGAAAGTGGTCTGCACAGTCTTCTACTTGCCACATCAGGCTCAAAATCCATTGAGCTTACGCATCAAACCTCTTAAATATCACTTGTCCACAAATTGAGTGCATGCAAGTTAGGAAAAATCTAAAACCTCTACTCTGTATGTAAAAGAACCCAAGACACTTCAAGACCAGCAGGAGGTATGCCAGCCATAGTAAGCTGCATTGCACTAGTATAGTACAGTAGCCACTTGAAAAAGCACTTAATGATCTTTATGGCTAATTCAGTTTGTGTGTCCTGTAGGTACTGTTTCAGTGTTTCCAACATAAAAACACATTTTTGTGGACTCTGACAACTTGGCATATTTCTGCAGGCTGTCTAACTTTGTGACATTTTCTCCTTGCAGGTTACATCATTCCCAAGTGCCGTACCCTGGAGGAGTATCGCACACAGATAGAAGGCATGTCACTGGTGGACTCACCGGAGGTGTTTGGTCTCCATCCAAATGCAGACATCACTTATCAGGTAAGAGTCATTAGAATTTTCTATTTGTGTCTTTTAAATGTGCCAAAACTTATGTCAAGTTAGATATTGTTCCATTGGCTTGTACATGCCCTTGGTGCTGAAACTGGTACTGTTGTTATCTGCGACATAATAGTTACAAAAGTACAAAATATTAATGCACTAGAACAAACCATTAATAGAAAGAGGTAATACTGTAACAGAGCAGATTCAACTCTGTTACGATGTTGAATATCCCCTTTCTGTAACAGCTAAAAGAGATAATTGGGATATGTGTTATTGAAATAGGACCAAGATGCCATCCATTGATACAGAACTATCTCTTATACTCTATCATGTAAGAAATTGAGTTTATAAAAAGCAATAGCTTCAATGTGTAATTACATTTTAATCTGTGGCACTTTTTAGTTTTAGCTGTACAAAGATATAAATTTACTGTACATACTAACCTTATACATCATATCACTGGTATATTGATAAACCTTGTCTATCCCCACCTGCAGACCAACATGGCGAACATGGTGCTGAACACCATCATGAACATCCAGCCTAAGGACAGTGGAGGTGGAGGAGGGGAGACCAGGGAGACCGTCGTCGCTCGACAGGCGACTGAGATGCTGGAGAAACTACCTCCTGACTTCATCCCTCATGAGGTATGGGCTTAATGTCGCTCCTCCTGTAATGGTAGTGTTCTACTCGTAAATGTATCAGAAATTGTGGAAGTGAAATGCCAATAGCTATGTGTGTGGAAGTGAAATGCCAATAGCTATGTGTGTAGCTATGCACAGTGTAAAAAAAATTGAAAAGGGGGAACATTCTTGCAAACAATCATTCATGTTCCGTAAAATTGGTCTTACCCATCTTTGTCAAGGAAAAAAAGTTTGCAATTTCTCTTTCAAGAAGTTCTGTTGTGTTGTGTTGGAAATTTCAGTTTAACCTTGGTTATGTATATATCAAGCTAGCCTGACTAAACCTCGCTTTTGCCGGCTTCCTGATGGTTCACTCTTGGGGTTGGTGGCTCTCTGAGCGCCGGACAAAGAGCAATATGTACAATGGCTAATATCAAGCTATCATTGATATTATCTCATCTTGTAACTGGAAGTCAACAAAGGGCCAGCATATAAATTTTGGTGTTTTAGCACCTATCAAAGGCCTTAGATACAAACTAGAGAGTCCTGGAGGGCATCACAACTATTATTTTAACACATTCAAGCTGCAACTGATATCATCTTGCCTTGCCAGTGGTGACAACGGATAATTCCTGGAGTATTAGCACCTGTACAAACCTTTAACCCTCCCTCTCTTTGACCCGTAGGTGAAAGACCGTCTGCAGAAGATGGGTGCCCTGTCTCCCATGAACATCTTCCTGCGTCAGGAGATAGACCGGATGCAGCGTGTCATCACCCTGGTCAGGAGCACGCTCAAGGACCTGAAGCTGGCCATTGACGGCACCATCATCATGTCTGAGAACCTGAGGGACGCTCTGGACAACATCTACGACGCCCGAGTGCCAGGGGCATGGAAAAAGGTATGGCATTGTGTCATGTCATACCTTGTTGTCTAACATTCTAGCACAACATCAATAATTTCAAGATTAGACGTTCAGGTTTGGATGTCTAACCGTCCACGAAATTCACAATACCTGGATACAAAGTGAAACAGGCAACTGGATAAACTCTCTGAAGAGTCATTTTACTGCAACATTCTGGTCAAGGATATGCTTGTATACGTCGGTAAAGGTTAGACATCCAGGTAATGTTTGACGTGTATAATTTCTGTAGATGTTATAGAAGTTGGTTAATGTGCTATGTCTTCTTTTGTACTTACTGTGCATAAGTGGTGTGTTATACCTACAGTGTTACACTTTGGGTTTTTAGTCTACTGGGTATGCTGTCAGCTAAAAACTAACAGCAGAAAATATAAACTTTACACTAATTTCACACCTGTTTTAGAATAATACTTACATGTTTGTTGTTGTACCAGATTTCCTGGGAGTCTGCAACGCTGGGTTTCTGGTTCACAGACCTGCTGGAGAGGAACGCCCAGTTCTCCAGCTGGCTGTTCGACGGCAGACCTAATCAGTTCTGGATGACGGGATTCTTCAACCCACAGGTATGGGATGCAGTACCTGCACTTACGTTCTCGTTCAGGTCTGGTCAATTATTTGAATGGCCTGTGACAATGGTTCTTTGTACATGCAATGGTTCTTCATACCGCCACAGTGGCTGTACTCTGTAATTCTTGAGACCAAAAGAGTCCTGCTGTCCAATGCTCACATTTTTTTTGCCTTCCTAAATGAAAGAGGGGAACATATTTTTATAATTTGTGAAATAAACAAAAAAGAAAGTTTGTCCAGCTTTCTGAGACTGAAGTCTCCACGTTTGACCATACAGGGTTTCTTGACCTTTTTCCAGCAACCTTTTTGCCTTCCTTGAATGAAGTTTCCATGAGGGGAACACATTTTTAGAAAGAACAAGAAAAGCCAAAGAACAAGTTTTAAAATGTCCTGCTGTCCGAGACTGAAGTTTGACCATTTGACCGTACAGGGTTTCCTGACAGCCATGAGACAGGAGATCACCCGTTCCCACCAGGGCTGGGCGCTGGACACCGTCGTGCTGCACAATGACGTCACCAAGATGATGAAGGAAGACATCACCTCACCTCCTCAAGAAGGTGAATAAAATTTCCTGAATTCCCGTTTAGGTTGTGAGGTTGGTACCAGGCTGAGTCATATACCAAAGAGTTTAAAATGATCAGTCTGGTTTCTCTGCTCAGCTCTCAGCATTTGGAGCATTTGGGAAAAGAGTATGGGAGTTAGACACACACCACTACCAGTGGACTAGCCCCGTTATGGTGATTGCACAATTGTTTGGCCCAAGGGCTACACAATCGGAGATTGACAACACCCTATGCATCATATCATGCAACGTAATTTTCCCTTGCAAAAGCATTCATTCATTCATAGAACATTTCTTCATCCTTACCTGCAGGAATGTACACCTATGGCCTGTACCTGCCCACAAGAAAAACGTTACTCATGAAAATGGATACTAGTAGATGTTAGAAAACTGTCAGACATTTCAAGTAGAATCCACTACTTTTTGTACATTTTGTTCATAGAGTCTTTTAACCCTTACCCACAGGAGTGTACATCTACGGCCTGTACCTGGATGGAGCCGGTTGGGACAGGAAGAACATCCGGCTGATCGAGCCCCAGCCGAAGGTGCTGTTCACACAGATCCCCGTGGTGCATGTCTACGCCATCAACACTTCCCTGCCGACCACCATCGTCAAGCCACGCGCTGGGTAAGTCAGTCACTGCTTTTGGAACGCGCATACTGCAACAGGCTTCCTGTAACATACTAGTAGTACACTATATGTAGAGGAAAATTAACAAGCCATGCACTGGGTAAGCCAGACAGTCACTGCTTTTGGAACACAAAGGCCACAAGAGGCGTCCTGTAACATACTACATGTATATCTACTGTATAAAAGGAAAATGAAGTGTGAACAAAATCAGCACTGATACATGTAAATTGTCAGTCTTCCACTTGCCTAAAGTCAGTACTTGTACCATGTTAGTATGCAGATGTAGTATACAGACAGTTAAAAAAAACATAAAACTCGATTACTGTGTTGAAAAATCTTGACTATAGTACCTGTAGTTGTTTGGGCATCATGAACAGTTGACCTGAGAAAAAGGAATTTGGCAACAGGATTTATATCTTAGGCTGCAACCTGTAGACTTAAAACCCTCGGCTACTACCGGTACTATACGTGTGTACTTGTAACTCAATACTACAGCATGTAGCTTACTTACGATTGATTTTATTTTCCAGCTACTGCTTCTACGAGTGTCCGGTGTACAAGAAGCCTCGCCGTACAGACCTGACGTACATCTTCCCGCTGAAACTCAGCAGTACCATCAACCACGGGTCCGACCGTTGGATTCTCCGTGGCGTGGGACTTCTGTGCGACACCAAGTAGACATTCCTCATGGCCACAAAATCTTTCACGGCCAAGAAAAAAACATCATCACCATCTGTATCTATCCTATGGAGTTGGTACAAATTTTAAAAAATGCTGCTTTGAGATTTGCTGTTTATTGCCTGGTTGTGTAAAGCTTGTTCCCATCATGAAACCGCCTTGTTCCTATAGCTCAGAAAACGACAGAAGCATTTTTTTGCTGACCATGTTAAACTTTCCAAACCTGATGACGAAAATGCTGCTTTCAAACTTGCTGTGCTCTTGTGGTGCAAAAATGTTCAATTTGCATGAGGTTTTGCTTTTAAATTAATGATTGTTCTGCAAATAGCACTATAATATATCATACAGCAACTACTCATCATACAAAGCTTATAAGCGTGCAGTGTTTAGGCTTTTGCCAGTATGCTAATGTTATCCAACTAGTAGTTTTGCTGAAGATTTCTACTTTGGGAGCCCACAGAATGACAGTAGTTGGATACAGGGTAAGACTGTGGTGGAGAATGTGCATATAATCAGAGTCTATTTTGTGGTGGTGTTGTATAAAAAGTCAAGTTTTTTCTTCTGGAATTTTGAGAGCTCTTCTAGGCACCGTCACTTGGTGAAGGGGTTCTATGCAACTGCTTTTGTATAGTGAAGTCTATTTTGTATTGGATGCTTTGAAAGTTGCAAGGAAGATTAAGCAAAATGTAGTATACACAGACTGTTATAAGATGATAAAGTTATTCACATAATCACACATACATGTATTTCTATTCCATTGTGTTGGGTATTTGGTCTGCATATCGAGACTGCAGAAACACAGTAGCAGGATCAACAATCAACATCATTACCAAAAGGTATCTATTTAGAGACCGTTACTACTATGCAAATCATACTGACACTGTGGTGTTATAGCAAATTCTGGTCAACATTCCATCCACACCAACACTAATTTTTGGTATCAGCATGTTACGCTACATGTAACTTTCACCTACGATTGTACTACACAGTTACAAAATGTTAAAAGATACCTCAGTTTTTAAACTGATCTGTAGTAGTTTGACACAGTTGCTTTGTGTGGACATGTATGTGTGTATTACTATACAAATGATTGTGAGATTAAAAAGCAAGAGAGAGTTTCCCTTGTGTCATTTTTTATTGTGTCCATACCATAGTAAAAGACTGCAGATATAATTTATCTACATGTACTGATCGATAGAACTTAGAAACTGACTTTAGTTGCATTGAATTGTTTATTCGATTTGATATATTTTTAACATAGGGCACAGCTGTCTAGATGCTTTTCATTCCCATACAGAATATCAAATTCAATATCTTTAAATACAAAATGTAGGCATCATTCATAATTATCATATTCCTGATTTTTTTTCACGGTACTTTTATGATCACTGTTTTCACGGCCACCTCTGTACCATGAACTTATCATTATGGTTATCAAACATTTTGTCTTTTGCCCCCCTCCTGCACTAGCCTGTATCATGAGGATTAAGTTCTATACGCATGTCCATTTCCCAGACCATGAAAATGGCTACCAGACAGAAGACAAAGAATTACAGAATTCTTTTCTAGTCATAATCATCTGTTGCACGTTGCAATAATTATAAAAGAAGAGTTCAGTATACCTTGACAGCAAACACAAAGGGATTATACCACCAGTAGAAGTGAGTCTCCCAGTTAAAGCCAACTTAACCCAGACAGCACTTCTTTAATGTACACACCTCTTTGGACATCTGTGCGTAACATTTCTAGACAGTCATTTTAAAAGCTAGCATTCACCCTGCTATTGGACAATCACTTCGACATGCCATACATGAAGGGGTTTGTGCCACGGACTTTGAAAGGAGGTTCGTCCACGAAAATGTCGGTGTACATTTCCTCTACAGGCAGTTCTGGGTCTGTCTTGGCCTGCTCCACAGCCTTGTCGATTTCTGCCCTGACGTCCAAGTCAATTTGCTGTGAATAGAGAAAGTCACAACCTGAGTTACACTGTCTCTCACTGTCGGGCTGATCGGGTCTACAGTAACTTCCTGTGAGCCTTACACCTCTAACTCAAGAGAACTACCAATAGGAGCTCAGGATTCTTTGCCGCTATGGAAACAAGCCATCACAGCATCCAGTACTTTGGTAATAAATAAACTATGTTAGCACATACATGTATGCATAAATCAACAGGATTAAGATGCCCCCCCCCCCCAAAAAAAAAAATTCTCCTGACTTAGAGGTGCTGGTCTTCAAGCTTCTGGGGGCCTGACCAATGGGAGGGCTGCTAGGAGCATATTGTAGTCACTAGTTAGGTTATAGCAAGTCATACACTAACATAAAGCTTCATGTCATTTGACAAAACATCAAGTTATTGAGAATTTGTAATATCTTCCAATAAAAATTGCTGAAAATCAATGAAAAGTGTCTGCACCTTCAACTCCTCGGCAGTTGCCAGATTAGCGGATATCATGCGTTCCCTCAGCCCGGTTATGGGGTCTCTTGTCTTCCTCATCTCCTGGATTTCCTCACGTGGGCGGTAGCTATAAAACAGATGTATGTTTAAACCTCTGCACCAATATTAGGTACAAAACATTGGACATCTACTAGTATATTTTAGGACTACCCCATTACTATCACACTGGTAGTCTGAGGGGTCAGCAAAACTACATGATTGTATTATACTTTTATAGATCTAATTATGAGGTCTAAAAACATTCTTGGGTATGGTACAGATTTTTACAGCATTTTAACTGTGATAACTTGTGTCCTTTTCGATCATCATTATGGTGCATGCATTTGTTCAACTTTTAAGTATGATCACTCTTGGAACTTCAGTAGTCATTCAGTGGACATGCAACTGTCAGGATGCAAAAGCCTGTTACTGGTATTTCAAGATGCTGATCTTATGGTGCATGGTAGTATTAAAGGAGCTAAATTTCTTAACTTTAGGTTACTTTATCTCATACCATTGTCTATCTACTGCTTCAAAGACGTACAAATGTATAAAGACAAACTGATACTCCCAAAAACACTTCAACACGACAAAGAGTAACTTGTACAGGACAGCAACTCACAGGGCTGGTACCTTCATTATGTCATGGTGGTGAGTGTAAAGCCTGACATTGTCATTGTTGCTATGAAACATTCTAAATTCAAAAGTCTTCTACCATGTGTCTGACTTGTTCCACTTTAATTTACAGTTTTTGACACTGATAATTGAACAGTCATACCACACTTAGCATATCTACTGCCATACTAGCTAGCACACTTGCCTTGAACCACTATCTGTGTTGCAACCCTGCTTAGCAAAACTCCTTTGATCACATTCACTCCTGCCTGGATTCTAATTCATACTACCAGTTCATGTTATTTTCTGTGGTACGTACTACGTAGTGTCACACTTTTTTTCAAGTTTTTTCTGGGCATAACTAGTACTGCTTCCTTCTGTTTCAGTGCTGGGCCCATGGGGCAGCAGTTGGAAATAACTACAGGAACTCCATGTAATAAAATTAGCAAAGATTTTGAAGTTGAGCTACATACAGGAGGGTACTGGTACAGTACTGAAGACTAATATTACTTATAATTGCAAAACTCACCTGGTGCCAGGATCACTCATGCTGTGTCCATGGTAACGATATGTAGCAACTTCTAACAACAAAGGACCCTGTGACAAACAGTGCAGGCCCTTCTCATTAGTACAGAACTCAACGTGGTATTGGCAAGGACTTGGTATTGGTTAGTATCCATGCATTCCTGCCCCCTTGCAGTCTCTGTGAGAACTGCAGAAGGCACCCACAGAATTCACAGGGCTCAGCATATTGTATGGATCTGGTTTAAGGCCAGTATACAAGTACGGATACCCATGTTTAGGCATAGCTGTACTGGTATATCAAAAACTTGGTTAGTATATTTGTTAACCAGTAAACTACCTTTAGGTGTAACACAACAGTTTTGTACAGTATACATGTACATGTAGCAGAGTGGATACATTTCTTAAGATAGCCGACATCTGGCACACAGTCGTCCCTCAGTAAGACATCTGGAGATGACTGTGGTGTGCTACATGTAGATGTTGGTTAGCTTGAGGAATGAATCCATTCTAGTATATGCTGTACAAAACTGGTGTTATGCCTAAACTCTACTAAAAAGTTGATTGAATAATACATGTACAAAGCCCTGTGAGCTCAGATGGGCACTACCCAGGCACTAACACTAACCTGGTGCCAGGATCGCTCATACTATGGCCAGAGTAGCGGTAAGTGGCCACCTCAAGAATCACAGGCCCCTTAAGGAGTTGGCAGAGACAGAACGGAAAGACTGAGATGTTAACAGAACAAGACAAGGACATGGTGTTATGCCTGGAGTAACACAGGGACACATGTGCTGAACAGTGAACACTGGGGAGATGGGAAACTTCTGCTGCTATTATATTGTGCTTGAAATTGCACTTTTCCAGTACATTTTCCCACTATAGGGTCAAAATTTACTCATGGATTCAAGTAATGTTTTGGTATTGCCCTCATTCAACACAATGATGTGTTTATGAAACCATTCCTGTCAAAAAATAGTGTGAGTAAAGTGGAATAATTTCTCAGCTGACATTTTTTGCACTACTATCATTCTGTACATGAGGAATGATTCCACTCTGCTAATTCCTGTCAAAAAGCTTTGAGATTGCAAGAGAAACAGCACAATTTCAAGCAAATATATCTCTCCCCCAAACAGTAACGGAACGGCTTTGAACAGCTTTGTACAACTCCAGACGCTGTCCATGACTCACGTGGTCCCCGGGTCACTCATACTGTGCCCGTGGTAGCGATACGTCGCCACTTCTAGCACCATGGGGCCCTGGAGCAGGGGTAGGAGCAGGGTCAGGGGTGGCAGAGGGAGGAGAGAACTAGCAAACTTAAAGCACAGTGAGAAAAGGAAGGCTTCTATGATCATGACGTAAACATAAGGATGAAATCTGCACATGTTTATATCAACTTTGTGGGGTGTGGGGGTCAAAAGGAAAGGAAGAAGGTGCCATCTAGGAAGAGAAGCTGGGGTATGATAGCATTAATGAACAATGGTTGCTTAGAAAACATGTACATGTAACTGAGGCCAAGTTCCAGAATGGTTGGTAATGCCTTTTCTAGAATGCAGGTTATGAAGACAATAGAAAATTCCATATGGTAACAATAGGGAAAACAATTACCGGTATTGTTCTAAAATGTATCTGTGGTGTGTTTGTTCCAGAAACTTATAACAGTCAGAAACTAATTATATCACTTGAAAATGTCACAAATAAGACAATGGTAGTTCTAGAACGATTACAATGAGCGTGAGTTCTAGCATGTCTGCAAGTTTGCTCGTGGTAAAACCAGACTGCTTTTCACTTGGAAAATGGTTTGCTAATTAATTATTAAGAAGCAAAGTAGAGGAGTGGTAACGAACCTTGCCAGACCTACACCACTCAGCAGCAAACCTGGTGGCCTCCCTCACAGCTAACACATCCATGCCGTCAGCCTGAAGACAACACAAAACATAGAGTTACCAGACCTGTCTTAGTTCATCACCAATGCTACTGTCAGTCAGTCTCATAAAACTATGACTTACTGTGCATACAACAGGGTGGCTCAGTTCCAAATTTTACAAATCAAATTTGAGCTTAGAAATCAGTTCATTGTTCAAAGGACAAGTCATGGGGCACCAATGCAATTCAGTTATAAAACCAACATAATCTCATCTTATTTTAATCTACTCATGTCATGCCTGACTTGATTTTCTCATATGTAGGCCAATATACATATACCAGTACTCCATGCAAAAGAAAGTACATGTACTGTATGTGTATATCATCTCAGACAAAAGCTTGTAATATAACTACAAATGTACTTGTTTGCAGTTACTCAAGCAACTTTGGCGTATCTTATTACCTGGATGTCTAACCTTCATCAACGTAACAACTTGTTTGGTTTGAGACTTTGACTTCTTTTTCTGACACAGTGGAAGATGAAAGATACCAACTTTTTCTGTAATACAGACTGTACTAATACTAACAGACACTCAACCTATATTCACACAAACTGAAAAAGGCATTTATTTAGCATGTTATCTCCTTACCCTGAGACCTGGTACATAGTCCCCTCTGGTGTAGTAGTCAGTACTAGCGGACGCCCTCTCCACAGCTGTACCCATCCCGTAACCGTTATTCTCACACACAAAGATACAGGGCAGGTCCCACAGCTTGGCCATGTTGTAGGTCTCGAACACCTAGTGGTAGTAATGGTTAATATTGATAAAAAAATCAGAAGGCTGAATTTTCTCAAACATCTAACACTTTGAACTTGCTTATGTCAATTCCATGCTAATTTTTGGAAGGTTGGTACTGGTGCAAGAAGGTATTTCACTTTGCCAAACATACATATGTATAAGCGGATACATATCATTGTGCAGCAAGCTTACAGTGTTACACAGTATGGTAGGGTACTGTTCTTTAGGCGAGAAGTTCAACACTTAAACAGATGGTCAAGCGTGAAAACTTTCATCAGGTTGGTAAGTGACTGAGTAAAGAGACTCTTTTTACACAACCAAGTCTTTCAGCCAGTGTTTCGGTGACCGTCTGTCACCTTCCTCAGGGCAATTCTGACTATATCTGACTGTTTCACATTGCACTGCAGCACAGGTACCAGTGTTGCTACTATAGATGCATTCATCACTCCTATAGTCTAGAGGCAAATGTTGGCTGAATAAAAGACTTGGTTGTGTAAAAAAAGTCTCTTTACTCAAGACAGATGGTGATTGCTTCACCTGGCCCTGGTTAGCCGCCCCATCTCCGTACAGGGCCACACACACGTTGTTACTCCCGTTGTATTTCAGAGCCAGGGCGATGCCGGCACCCAGAGGGACCTGCGCACCAACAATGCCGTTTCCACCATAGAAGTTGTTCCCGTACATGTGCATGGAGCCACCCTTGCCTTTTGCACAGCCTGTTTTTCGACCTAAAAAGAGGAAGGAGAACACGAATAAAAATGGATGTCTCCACAGCAAATGATTCTTGGAAGGAACACCAGTGAGAGTAATTTTCTGTTTGGCCACATTGCTACATAAGCTAATTTCTTTCAAATCAGACACTTTTTCAGTCATAGCTATTTTAAAACCATCCATCCAAAATTCGTGAACCTAGCATGTCTGGGTCATGAGATATCAAAACCAGAGAAGTCACACTGCAGTGCCATGGCAAGCTGCCAGGGGGCCCAAAATCTAATCATTTTTAGGTCTCATTAAGACCTAACCACCTACCAAGTTTCAAGACAATCCTTCTTGAGTTATCGTGCTAAACCACAAACAATACATACGCACAAACAAATGCTACCAAAGACATAACCTTCTTGTCAAAGGTAACAAATTTCATAACACTACACAGTTCTATGTAGACCTTAAGAAGGATTGTCATGTAACTTGGTAGGTGGGTAGGCCTTAATGAGACCTTGAAAAGACTAGATTTTAGGCCCCCTGGCAGCTTGTTATGGTACTGCAGCGGAACTTCTGGTTTTGTGATCTCGCGATCTTGAAATGCTAGGTTGTACGGCAATTTACCAACAGCCCATCTGCCAGAACCCACCTGTTAGTTCAGCGAGGATGTTGACGGGTGGGACACCTCTGGTGTAGGTCCAGCCGTGGGCTCTGTATGCTGTGATCACATGGTCATCTGGTGTCAGGGCAGCTTCCATACCTACAGCACACGCTTCCTATAGGATACATGAATGTTACACACTGTGTATTATATTCCATTACTGTTATCTGTACATCTGTATGTATATATAAGTCAAAGCACACTAGCTTTCTACAAGTCTGTATGTGTATTGGCATGGCACATTACACATGTAGTAGTACATCATGTACATTTGTGTTACATCTCAGTTCTGGAAACCATTGCCAAACATTCTGTAAAATTATATAATGGAGAGGCTTTTAACATTTCAGGCCAGCCAAAATTAACAACCTGTGTAAGAGACCTCTTCCAAGACCAGTTTTGGTAAAATAAAGAAAGCAATTTATGTAACAGATTTTGTAACTGGACAATGCAAACATATACATGTAGATGTACAGCATACTAGCAGCACACCTAGCAATACATATCATTATTGCAGCAAGTATGAACATCAGGACAACATGTGACTAGACCTAATCTCCAAGCAGATCTTTTGGTGGGGGGAAGACAGTATCAAATTGGCCAGTCTGTATCCAGTTCCCCATCCAGTTTCCTTGGGTGGGGAACTGGATACAGACTGGCCAATTTGATACTGTCTTCCCCCCACCAAAAGATCTGCTTGGAGATTAACAGTACTAGACCAGCCATCAAGCTGCTTTGGTCAGAATGCTTGTCCATGTCACCATTGAGCATTGGTGAATGAATACAGAACTTTGCTGTTTGGATGGAACAACTGTGCTCAAATGTTATCAAGTGTGTAACAGCCCTGATCCGTCAGTTAGTGATTTATGACCCTGTGACGTGGTGACCATGACGTAGTGCTTAGTAGCCAGATTTACATCCTTAGCTACTTAGCTCCTTAGCTCATTTACATACTCATTAGATTAGCCAATGACTGGTGAGAGCAGTCAGCGTCAGGATTAGATATTAGTTAGCCCGCTTGCATTTGAATTCAGTCGAGACCGGGATTTCAGGTTAGTAACACACACTCTGTATTAGCTCCTTGTAGTTCATAGCCTTTGTAGATTCCACTCCTGTAACTTAGATCCAGCTGTCAACTTGTTTTTGAAACACTGTACGCTTCTGTTACCAGATTCCTGCTGAGAGTTTATGAAGGCCACAATATCTGATATCCAGTCCCTCCGGAGCAACTGTTGGGTATCTGAACACAAGCTGAAACTCATGGACATCAGGGCACCACATCTGTGCCAAGTGTATCAGGGCTCGAAATCCTGGGTGCATGTGCACCTTAGTGCACCCAAATTTGGAACTGCGCACCAAATTATTTTATGTGGGTGCACCAGTGCACCCAAATATTTTCGTAGGTTTACATATGATGTTAAATGTATTGTAGTATACAGCATATTCTTAACATCAAAGTGTTAGAAAAACAATGAATTTCGAGCCCTGCAAACTGAAACTCATGGACATCAGGGCACCACATCTGTGCCAAGTGCATGTACACTGAAGCTGAACTTGGCAGGAAATGGCTAAACTGCCCTAAACATGGTCATGTGGCCATGAATTAGATATCTCAATATTCTACACCAACATCAGGGTACAAATCTATTGAAGTGTGGCGGTAGGCAAGACAGTATCCAATAGGCTACTGAAGTATTCTATAGGCTACATTGTATCTAATTGGCTTTGGTAGCTGATTGGATATAGCCTTGTCTATTGGATACTGACCTGCCTATTGAATACTGCCTTGGCTACCAAAAGATCTGCTAGGAGATTATGGCTGGGTGAAATGTAGTCCATATGTACCACATCAGTCTGACTTCTGTATCATATAACCGCCCTTTGCATAACACACCAGACTTAGACTTTTACTACTAGAGAATTCTGACCAACAACTTTCAACTGTAGGTTTAGGAAGTCACCATCTAAACTTTTGAAGAACACTGAATAAGAGACAACTCTAACTCACCTGTCCTGAGTACAGATGACAGAAACCTCTGATGACTTTGGACTTGTACAGGTTTCCTGCTGCAGTCTCCATACGCCGGATTGTCTGCATCTGCCTGTAGTACTTCAGGGCATCGTCCCTGGTGACTGTCACGGACTGGGACGGACCTTCATCCAGCTTGTGCAGTGCATACTCCTGGGATAAACATACAATGTATGGGCAAAATGAGTGAAGGTAAAGTACATGATAACATCTTGACGATAAGACATCTTGCTTATGAATTATGTTATGACTACCACATTTTATCTATAACTTTAATGTTGCTAGCGTGGGTACCATCCAATAAGGTTTTTTTACCATTTTCGCATGCGCGAAAATGGTAACTCAGACGAGATTGAGATTGGATGGATGGATCAACGGTTCCACCCTTCAACGGCCATGCAGACATGCTAAGTCACCGCATGTCGCTAGATGTCGTTGTTGCGACGGCCATGCAGACATGCTGAGTTGCCGCATGTCGCTAGATGTCGTTGTTGCGAGTGCACTTTTTACCATTTATGCCTTGGACGTTTGTATACTTTCCATTATGGTTGCTAATTTCAAAATCATAGTTCTATTAATGTTGCATAACAAAGCTGCTGACAAAACAAACTTGATTTGTCTTGAACAATAACTTGATTTTATTATTTGCCAAAAATGTTGATAAAGACATGTCTATAATCACAGTAATCAAGGATTTTAATAAACTGCATAAATTATGTCAATGAGCATTAGCAGTGTGGATTAGTCTAGATGTTCAGATTTCCATTAGCCGGCAGTCCAGAGGGTCACACGTCCGACCAATCAAGGCGCTGCAGGCAAAGCTTATTAAAAGCCTCCTTTTCAGGCGTTCCCGGATCGGTGTTTTTGTGTGTGTGTGTGTTGGGGGGGGGGTGTATTTTCTGACCAAACGTAGATCGCACGCAATAGAAGCTCCGGCCTACATAGCTGTCCGTGGAACTATTGATATTACCTGGGTGCCTAACTTTCACCAACATGTCTTTTGTATTTTAGGAAATTAATTAATTAATGAGTGAGTGTTTAATTAACTTAAATAGGTATTGCATTGTTTGGCAAGGTATTTTCCATTGACAATTTTTAATGGATCAGGTTGATCAGATGATATAATGTAAACAATTATATATGATTAGTAAAAGATGACTTTTGAAGTTCTCTTCGAGTATTATTTTAGGGTTGAATCAGGGTCAACGCGAAAAAAAATCATGATCCGGTGATCGACATCATGCCCCCCCGCACACTTCATGTATTCAGTGTTCTAAATACCCGTCTTCAGTCTGCAATTTGCAGATAGATTTTCAAGATTTCAGGATAAAAATTACACAATCTGCAATTTGAAGAATGAAAAAAAACTATGGTCCTCACAACTTCATATTCCCTTTGTTTGACCCGCCCGGCGCCCAAATCCCGCTGCGATTCAAGCCGCGGCGGCTTCCCGAGCCATGCAAATAAACCTAGTCCTGACGCCACAGCCTCCGATTTCCACCGAGCCAGCCCCGAGCGCATGCCGACAGCGAGGGATGTGGGTCAGATTTCCGACGATTTCCTTATTTAGATCATTCGGAAGACTTCGGGTAGCAAACAAAATGGCCGCCATGCACATGATTTTATACTAGTAGCTTCGCTTCTCAACCGAAATGAGGAAGTTTAACCTCATTTGCAGACTTTAGCGGCCATGGAGTTGATTTGGGGAAGTGCTGAGACGCGATTTCGCTACGGCATATGGGATTTTGCCGCGGAGGGAGTTACGTACGCCGGCAAAAACTTGCTTCAGCGATCGGCTCCAGAAAATTTATCTTTATGCTGCCGCTCAAGTCTTCTAAGGTGGTTTAACGAAGTTTATATAAATAATAAAGCCACTTTGCGTAGATCGATCTCCGTTTTCTTGCGATGGTATGAAAATTCAAGTACAGTATATTTTCAAAACGTTTGATATTTCTTTGTTCGTTGCCACATGTTGTTTATTTATCTTATTGTCATGTACAGTTACCAGCGTGAGTCTGAGTCGAGCCATTGTTCTTATGTGGCCGTTAGCACATGTTGTTTAAACAGACAGCAACATTGAAGAAAAGAACCGAGTTAACAGACATCGGCACGTTCCTTGAAGTCAGGTTTCCCGCCGTATTTAAATAAGAAATGTGTGGGCCCGCGGCGTTTTGAAAAGACGCGACGCGCTTTGGAAAGACCCCGCGCCGTGGCTCATTCAAATTCGCTACATTTTTTGCTAAGTTTAATGTCTTCACCCACGATTTTTGACCGTCAATGTTGACGGTAAGGACTTAAATTTTTACCGTCCGACGGGAAAAAATACCGTCAATTGACGGTAAAACGGGCGCTGGCTAAAGCCCTGGTTGAATGTCACGAGGTTTGTAAACTTAGATGTTGGGACAAAGCCATAGAAGAGTATTTTGAATAAATATATATATATATATATTAACGTTACTTATAATTTAAGTTAAAATGTACTTTTGTGTCTCATTTTTTTATTCTGTTAAAAAGACTCTTAAAAGAGAGAAAACAGGTTATAAACTGTTATATACTTGATTTTTGTAATGTTTTAAACTTAAAGAGTTGAAATATAGAAGTGCATGTTCTCTCATTATATACAATGTTGATGAGAACTAGAACCATTTATATAACTTAGGTAAATTGAAATGCTAGGATGGGGAAAATGTTCGTAAAAACTGTAAGCCTGTAAGCGGCGAAAATGGTCAGCTTTTGCAGAAGCACTTGTTTTAATTCATCATTGCCATTACAAATTGGATAGCACCCAGGCTAGAATGTTGCTCCAATGGCCATTTTTTTTCTTTGGAAATATCTCACTTGTTGGCATTCACTACTTTACTTTTTCATTACACTGTGACTATCAGGTTCAACCCATTTCCAGTGTCTGGCCTTTTGACCACCTGTCATTCTGCCTGTCATTCTTCCTAACCCACATGGTGTCAACCTACTCTTAAGTTTACCACATTATCTGTGTCTGAAATTTTGACCTCCCACGCTCCCAGCATTCTGCCTGTCAGTACTAGTCCACCCATGTGAGGTCAACAACAAACTATACTGTCTGGACAAACATACACACAAATCCATATAACTCAAAAGAAGTAATTTCATACCTTTCATACCCAGAAGTAATAGTACATACATTTGTGGTGAAAGTAGTTTCCTCAACAACGTCAGCATAGCCACGAGCTGCCACAACCCAGCAGGCCGTCTGGAAAAGAAATGGACAAAACTGTAAAGTCCGGATCTTTTAGAGCGGTCGTTAGCGCGCTGGTGTCGTAAGCTGGCTGTCCGGGTTCGGCGTGGGTTTGATTCCCGGCGACCCAGGAGTCAGGGGTTTTCCTGCTTCTCATCATCAACACTTGCTCCTGTTTGTTTCAAAACTATCTGAACATAGGAATGATGTTTATGCTACCGTAAATCACTGGTAATAGTAGGCATATAAATACAAACTATTGGTAGGTAAATCACCAAACTAACATCTGCTTTTTGCCTACTAGAAATTATGAGGTCACATTATGAAGAGTCTACTCTACTCTACACATCTACTCATGATCACCTGTAAATCATTAGATTCTAAATAAAATTTGATCTTGTTGGTGGTTATGCAGATACTTATCCAATTCTTATCGATAGTTAATGAATCTAAGCTCTACTACCATTGTGTGATCTACATCTGTTGCGCACCCAGTGTTTTCACTGGCGTAAAAAGTGGCTAACTTTTCTTGGCACTAGAAGTAGTAGAACATCAGAAGACCAGACGACACCGTCGCCCCTCCCCCCATGCAAGGCAAGGTCAGTTTTCACTCACCGGCTTACTCTGAATTTGGGCTCTTACAAGCCTCGCCGCACACGACAACATCTTGCTATGTCTTCAGTAAGTACTTGTGGTGGCAGTGAGGTACAAAACTGTATGATATCTGCGTAAAAACCGTGGCAACGGGATGGAAATGTGGACAGAAAACTGTAACACTTTTTATTTTGTCATACTTGTTACGTCCGCGATGCGCAGAATAGTTGCGCAATGAGGTGATTTCAGGTAAAGGCAAAGAAACGTGTACAAATCAAAGAAACAATTTCCTCAATTTATCTAAAAATCGACTAAATAGAGAAAAATATCGCAAAAATCACTATAGGTATATTTGTGACATTTGATTTTATATTTTTAAAGACATTTTTGACACAAATTTAAATGGAAGTTGTCATTTCTTGTTTTTGGGCGTCCGATACGTAGTTACGTTCTGCTGCCGTACGCACGTACCAATATCCAAGATGGCGGAAAACGGGAGCAGAGAGCAGGCGACGTCGCTCGATGAACTCAGGGCCAAGCGGGGTAGGACTCTCAGTTTCGGTCTCTTCTTCCTTATACTGATAAATAAGTGTGTATGGAAGGCGTCTGAGTAGTCAGACGTTTGAAAGCGTCGTAGTTTTCGAGTTGTCGAAACGGGAAGGTTGGGGTGGGATAGCGGAAGCCAGCCAACGTTTTTCTCCACATTCCCAGCCCTGCAAATTTATTCATTGATTCCGTCTTGCCTTTTCCGCGCTGCTCGAGCGCGCCGAGCTAATTTTTCAGCACTGACTGATGAGCCAAGGGCGACATTTGTTTTGTTCCTAGTCCGTCAGAAGAAAGCGTCGGGGTCCAGGCGGCTGTGTCCCGGTAAAGTTGGCCCGACCAGCCGCTCTGTTTTAGTGGGCAAGGCGGGAGGGGTCCTGATGACAGGGCACCGTACAGGGGAGGTGTCAAAATGGCGCAATAAGTTGGCCCTTCGTCTTCAATTTTCTTTATTTTTCTAGGTCATGTAAATTGCGTGAAAATGACAGGTTTGCGTCGAGACTGCTGGTGTGACGCCGGCACGGGAACTACTCTTGAATCCAGTTATTTCCGCTGGAAGTGAGGTGTACCATTGTGATGTAGGGGTGGGTGGGGTGAATTCCCTCTAGGCATAGCAAGTTAAATACTACGTCCTGTCTTTGTCTATATCTATCTACGGTAAGACTTACTGTTCCAAAGAGTTGGAGTCTATGACAGTTGTGACTGTATTCATGGCCAACCTGTGTATTAATCAGTCACTTCCTCAGATATGGTTCAACGAACAAAGAGAAAGCTGTGATAACATTGGGGGAAGGTGTCCATGACAAGATACATGGTGCGCATCAGCTGTCAAATCCGGACTTGCGTACTATCTCTGCCCCATGATTCTGAGAAGGCACCTGATCAAATCCTGTAGAGTACATTGAATGATAAGAGGAGGTCAGGAATATGTCACATGTATCTATATATCATATATATGGCCTCCTTCAGTCAATATTGACCATGGTAAAATCCTAATTGACACTAGCCCTACAGCTTCGACTATGGCTGAACAGTAAAACAGTCCAATATGAGAATGACAGTCTTTGCCATATAGGACACATGTGTAAGCTGACTCAGGTGTGTTGCAGAGTTCTCATTCATATTATAAATAATGGTATGATAATACTACAATTGGACAAGAAAAAACCTACCGGTATATGCCACAACCCCTTACCTTACTAGTAAATGCAGTTATTTGCTGAAGAAACATGTATGTCAAGGAAGGTAATAACTGTAGCATTGCATATAATTTGTGCTGCAGAAAAACATTACAGTATCTAAAACGTACATCTGATATCTGACAGGTGTCCTGACTAACCAGCAAACATGCCAGCAGTTCCAGGGAATTGCAGGCATGTTTTTATTGCTGTTATTGTTTTCAGAGTGTATCACCACATCTGTCGTTGTTGCTTTTACACGGATGTTATTTCTGTGCTACACGTTGTTGATGGCTGCATCTCCTTAGCCCAGAATGTTGGCGTTACAAGCCTCGGGTGGTTTACAGTTTGTTGACTTGCCCTTTTGTGCAGTTTTATGTTATTTATTCCCAGTGTAACAGAAAAGCTATGACCCAAGCTTTTCAACCTTCCGGCTATGACTACGCCGGTCTGCTACATTTTCAACTAACTCAGTAACTGCCCAGCTGATTGCTAGAAGGATGCCCCAGCCAATTTTGCAGAAACATTGTTGGTCTTGACTTCTCTTGACAAGCACAATGCAGGAAAGGAATGTTATCATGTATATTGTATAGGAATACAAGCAAAGTTTGTCCATTCTGACCATTGCAAGCAAAGTGATTATCAGTTCATCTTCTTCCCTTTATATCTTCTAGAAGTATTCCAGACAGTGAATAATAATAATAATAGTAGTAATAATAGCCAATTGTTCATGTATGAATGCTATCTGTTTTCTGCTGGTTAGCTCCTATGAATCATTGATACTTTAATGATGTTGACCCTGGTGGGCACAGAGTGTATTTGTCTGTGTTTACTTAGTGGTTGGGTGGGCCCTTCAATGTTGTTAGCTGTCCATGCATTGCATTTGAATTTTTAGCCACTTTCTATTCACAGTGCTGACATGACCTCTTTGTTTCAAAACAGAACAGTTCAACCACTGTACTAATTTTGTAGCAAGTCGCCCTGACATATTGTTCTCAGTTTCTGAAATACTTGTGAGGACAATGCCAGCCAGTTAAATATTATATAACAATACTGGTATGTCAGTGTACAGTACTTCCTTTCAACTGTAAAATGCATTTACTTTCACAGTAGATTTATTTATGAGGGGAGAAGAGTTTTTGTGGTGTTTGAAGTTCATGGGTGAAACAGTTCTAAAGTACAATAAAAACACACAACAGAATATTCGTGGTGTTACAATTTTGCAATAGGAAGAACATAGCAAAAACATATGCTCAGAAGAAAGCTTTGTATCTGACTTCAGTCTATTCATGAAAACATGACCTTAAACAAAGCATATGTATGATGTAATTGAAGCCTTATGCTTTATAGAAATAGGATTCATACATACATGTCTGCTAGCTTATGGGCCATCTGTTGGCATAATGTCATCGCGTCTGATATGTGCACAACTCGCTGTCCCCTTTCAGCATTCTAACATTGACATTCAAGGCTCTAGTAATCTCACAAATGGCTCCTGGTGAAAGTAGTAATGCAGTTTCCTTGTACCCGAGTCAGTGATTCATATATTTGATTTCGTGTGGACAAGTGTGGGGGTAGTAATTCTTGATACATATTGTAATCTTACATGTGTGTGCACGTATCAGTAACATAATAAATATCAGTTACAGTCTACCATTTATACAACCCTGTGTATCCAGTTGGAGTGCTTGCCTGGTTATGATGTATAGTACATGTGCATTAGTAACTGTTATATGGGCAAAGCCTACAGAGTACATGTAAATGATTAACAATATCATTTTGTATTTCTGCATGTGTTATTTGACAGCTATTCTGTCAGATGTCACCACTACACAAATCTGTTCCATGAATCTAGCTTGCAGTTTTACATTCATGTCTTGATTTGACTCATGAGACACTCCTAGGAAAAGAAAAAACGTAATCTGCAACAATTTTTTTCCCTATTCAGTAAGGAAATGCTGCCAGCATCACAACCATTTTTCCCCATTCCTCTAATGATATCATGCTACCCTTCTCTACTGCTCTCCTACCATGAAAACTTAATGCTAGTAGTCACATGCTTAGGTGTGTGTTTACTTTCTAAAGCCAGCTTTGATGTAGGTATTTGCTCCATCTGTTTTCTGGAACACTCTATTACCAGCGAGCTTATCATATCACTATTACTGACAGTAACAAACCACTGGCAGTCTGGGCCTGAGCAGGACTATTAATTATGCCCAGCAAATTGAATATCACATGATGGTATCAAGCATTCATGGGGCAGTACTGAGTCCACATGATCCATATGATTCCCAGGCATGTTTGCTCTGGGCCCTGTAATGTGTGGAGTTTTCAAGGGTACGAAGGGCAAAATAACCATTTTATGCTGCATTTTCTATTCAGGGTTTTTGTTTTAGTAACAGGACATCCTGTAATATCTTGTACTTGATTTACAGTCATTTCTTGACATTAAGTGCCTTTAGTTATTTTGCACAGTACACATCTTAGACTTGGTAGTACACTGGTCAGACTTGCTACTCACTCACTCACTCACTCACTCACTCACTCACTCACTCACTCACTCACTCACTCACTCACTCACTCACTCACTCACTCACTCACTCACTCACTCACTCACTCACACACCCACACACCAACCCACTCACCCACTCACAAACTCACTGCAGCTACTGACTATTTCTAAACAATGTGAATTTGGCCTTTTCTGTCCTCCCCCATGCAGACCCCAGGTCCAGACTCATCAGTGTTATACCTCCTTTCCACAGACTCACTGCCAATGTCCACAACTTATCATTGTCATATCGCCATGATAAGTGTTGTCCTGTGTCATATCGCCATGATGATAAGTGTTGTCCAGTGTCATATTGCCCTGATGATAAGTGTTGTCCAGTGTCATATCACCATGATGATAAGTGTTGTTCAGGCCAGGTGCTGCCATGCTTCTCTGTCCAGACCTCAGACTCATCAGCGTCAAACTCATAATGAGAACTGGTTCAGGTCAAGTCTTGCCTAGCCTGGTTACCAGACCTATTTTAGCTCCCGAGTCTATATCCTCTCCACAAATAGGGAGATATATACTCAGTCAGGAACTAAAATAGACGTGGTAACCAGGCTAAGTCTTGCCATCTCCCTAGCCTCTACCAGGCTTCAAAAGTGGCTTGAAAGAGTAGAAATAGGGCAATAGATGGGTAGTATACAGGGGAGGTTAGTCTGTTAAACTAAAAGGAGTACAATTTGCCACTGCAACTATATTGCTTCCTTTAGCAGACTAACTCCCCTGTCGTGTTATCTGTCTACTCCATTTGGCCAGTTTCTACTCTTTCCAGCCAATTTCTACTCTTGTTTCTTGTGTATCTCAGTACCTGGATGTCTAACCTTCATTGACATATGGCTTACACAGTTTTCCAGTAGCCCCCCTCCCACTAGCCATTACTACTACTTGAAACATCAGACGTTTATCAAAATCTATCCAGATTCTTGACAGTTGATGAACAATTTTCTTGTGTGTCTCATTACCTGGATGTCTAACCTTCATCAACGTTTCTATTTGGCCAATATTTCTACTCTTTCCAGCCAATTTCTACCCAGTTTTCTTTTGTTTCTCATTACCTGGATATCTAACCTTCATCGACATATGGCTTACAGTACACAGTTTTCCAACCGCCCCCCTCCCACTCACCATTACTGCCCCAGACCAGCCCATGTTTGAACAATGATATATGTCTAATGTATGATTTCTCGGACCAGGTCTTGTCACCCCTTTTTCTGCGTGGCTCCCTGCAGAGGCCCCAGACTCATCAGTGTCACCCCTGTGATTACTGGTGGTCAGGCTGGCCCCGCTGCCTGCCTGGGCCTAGGAAATAAAATGTTGTGTTTCCTGTTTCAGTCCTGAAAAAATTAGGGTCGGGACTTGGTAGGTAGGGCAACATTTGTGTGGTAAAAAGTCTGCCTGGGCCTGGGAAATAAAATGTTGTGTTTCCTGTTTCAGTCCTGAAGAAATTAGGGTCGGGACTTGGTAGGTAGGGCAACATTTGTGTGGTAAAAAGTCTGCCTGGGCCTAGGAAAATAAATATGTTTCCTGTTTCAGTCCTGAAAAAATTAGGGTCGGTAGGTAGGGATTATCTTTTTTTAGACTTTGTCGATCTCTAGTGATCCAACTTATAGAATACAGTTTAACAAAGTAAAACTTGCATGAGGACACTCTTATTTTCAATGTCAATGTTGGA